ATTGCGGTCATAATATGCTGCCTGGAATGACAAAGAGCTGAGTTTAAAAAATGCCCAAAATGCGGCAGTGTATATTAGGGTGTGGCAATATATCATCTGTGGATGCCTGTGGTAAGCCAACACCAGGGATATATCATGGCTGGGTTTTAATGAGTGTAAAATGATATATCATATTGACAATATGGGCTGAGCCATTCTTGCCTGCTTTGTGTCTGGAGCCAGTCTTGTACTCCTGAGGTCTGGAGCCAATCTTGTCTGCCCTGGATCTGTAGCCAGTCTCACCCACCCTCTGTTTGCAACCAATCTCTCCCACACTGGGTCTGGACCCAATCCTGTCTGTCCCTTCTCTGCAGCCAGTCTCTCCCACCCTCTGTCTGCAACCAATCTCGCCTGGGTGGGGTCTGGAGCCAGTTTTGCCTGCACTGGGTCTGGACCCAATCTCATTCCTTGCTTCTCTGCAACCAGTCTCATCCACACGTTGTCTGGAGCCAGTCTTGCCCACACTCTGTCTGCAACCAATCTTGCCTGGGCGGGGTCTGGAGCCAGTCTTGCCCACCTTGGCTCTGGAGCTAATCTCATCCTCCCTGGGTCTGGAGCCAGTCTCGTCCTCCCTGAATCTGGAGCCAGTCATGCCCACGTGAGGTCTAGAGCCAGTTGCGCCCACGCAAGGTCTGGAGCCAGCCGAGTCCATGCAAGATATGGAGCCAGTCTGGCCCCCCCTGGGTCTGGAGCCAATTGATCCAATGTGGGGTCTGAAGCCAGCCTTGTCTGTCCGTCCTCTGGAGCCAGTCTCTTCCGCCATTCATCTGCAGCTAGTCTCTTCCACCTGGAGTCTGCAGCCACTTTTTTCCACTCATCCTTAGCAACCAGTGTTGTCTGCCCATCTTCTGTAGCCAGTCATGTCTGCTTGTCATCTGCAGCTATTCTCATCTGCCCATCATTTGCAGCCAGTCTTGTCCATCCATTGTCTGCAGCCAGTCTCCCATGCATGGGATCTGTAGCCAATCACCCATGCACTGTTATGAACTAGGATAGTTCTAATGACAGACAACTCGATAAGAGTCAGTAACCTCTGTTGAGATTCTATGCAAGATGATAAGTCAAGCATTCAGTATAAGCTAAGGTAGAGGGAGTGCCTCTAACTTAAAGTATGGTTCAGATGACAAGAGATTGGAGGTCTCAAGTGAAGGATATTCAGGTAAAACCTAGTAAGATTAAAGTAAAGAACTAAAGCATACAGGAGGACTATTTATAGTGAACTACTGTGCTTTAGGGCAGGTGTGGGAATGAGTACGAGTCAGAGATAAAGGATGCATAAGCAATAGCAAGAATAGGTCATCTAGCAATGGCAATGGTGGTCGTGATGTAATACAAAGTGTGAGTCAAAGATAAGTCTAGTGGCAGCATCATGCGGTTCATGACATAATACACAGTAAGAGAGAAAATGAATAGGGGCATACACGGTTGTAACATGTGCAGGATCTGCAGCCAGGCTCGCCCTTGCATAATCTGAAGCCATGTCTGTGGCCAGTCTTGCTCACCCTGGGTTCACACATTCCCTATCTGTAGCCAGGATTGTCCTTGCTGAGTCTCCAGCGAGTCTTGTTTGTCCCCAGTCAACAAGTGGTCTTGGCCCTGGGCTTGCAGTAAGTCATGCTTGGGTTCAGTTTGCTGTGGGCACTGCCTGCTCTGGGTGTGCACCAAATCTCACAGATGCTGGTTCTGCAGCCAGTCCTGTCCACCCTGGGTATGCAGCCAGTATTTCCCACCCCAGGTCTGCAACCAATCTTCTCCTCCTTGAGTCTGCAGCCAGGCACATCCATCCAGCATCTTGAGCCACAATTGTAAATCTGGACTGCAATCTCCCTGAATCCATAGCAGGCTGATAAGAACTGAGAGTGGCTGCGGTAGTTGAACAAGAAAGCCCAGTGACTCTTTTAATCTCTTTGGGTCATGGGGTTGCATAGCATGACTGTGTGTCTTCAATTCTGAGAGTGCATCTAGGATGGCTGTGCTTTCTGGAATCTCTTTTATCATCAAGTGGAAAGAAGAAAGGGTGAGTAAGGAGTGGGGTGATGGGATGTCATGTACTTGAGCAAGGCTGCAGTTTGAGGGGTCAGAAATGTAGTCACAAACAGATGAGTGATAGATGTCCACTGGGAGGATAATATCAGTAGGAATATTCATTATGGACTGCAATTGCATTGGTGTTACCTCAACATCCCTGCCCAGGCCTGGGCCAAGAAGTTTCAAAATTTGTAACATCAGCAGAGGGTCTGCAAGCGCAGTGATGACAGACAAGTGCATGTATGCCCACTTGGGGTCAGCACATGTGGAAAGGATACAGTCATATAACCTGTGCACCTCTGTCCCTGGTAGCAGCTTGCTTGTTAGCTCGAGCATGAGCTGAAGTTGGTTGTGGGGATCATTGTCTTCATTGTCAATGAACTTCATCATTGTAGATGCTACAATGAAGTGCCTGCCTGCTTGGCTTGCCAACCACTTGAGTTCATCCCTTGATGGCTGTGGGAAATCAGGATGCTGACTTTCTAATTCAGCAAAAGAATGCCACAAGAAAATATAGATGTTGTTGTCGATGTCAATGCCATCCAATGAGATAATGGTAGCAACACCTTCCCCAGAAGTCTGCACTGGTATCTTGCACACTAGTGGGCACACCTTTTCCTGCTGAAAGACTTTACAAATATGCAATTCTGAGTGACTCATGAGCAGAATGTGGGTCACAGGCAGATCAGGTTCGCGAAGAGCCAATGCGAGGAAAGTGATGAGATCAGCAAGCTCAGCATTGGATGTACATTTGGCCAGGGCATTGATGACAAATGTCAATGGCTCACACCCGTGCAGTCTGGGATGGAGTTTCCAGAGAGGTTTGAGAAAGAGTGCCTCCATCTGGTTGCGAAGAGATTTGTTTAGATCTAAAAGTGAGGGATTCTCATGGATAGTCCTGTTCACATCTGCATGGATGCTAGGAAAATTGCTGGCCAGCTGATAGACAAGTGTTGCAAAAAAGTATCCAGTGGTGCAGTGGTCAGTGTGCTTGTGCAAGAAAAAGAATGTTCCTGCAAGCTGCTTTTTGACATTCATCTGCTTGGTGACTTTGAGACCCCTCATCCTTTCAGCTACAGTGAATGCAACAGCAGATTTTCCGACACCTGCTGTGCCATGCAGCCAAATGAGTTGACTCTCCTCTTGGTTGTCTAATAATTCATGAATGTAGCTAAGGAGGTCTACCTGGGTCCCTTCCAGACATTTTGGATGGGGCTGGTGTTCACAGGAGTCATATTCAGCACCCTTAACAGCCACTTGGGACAGCCTCTCCCAAGTTCCTTCAAATGATTGAGTTACTGTTTATGAAGTCAGGGAGCAAGAGAGGGATGAAAGATGAAAATATTGACATTGATCATGACTCATTGATGGTGTGATTGAATGGAAAAGCTCAGGGAAGTGCTAGCTGGGTATCCTTGGTTCGAGTGTGCGATTAGAAATGCAACTGGGTGTTATTTTGAGGGATGACATACAAAGATTTGAATCAGATGCATATGATGATCAATATCCAACAAATGCTTGGATCACAAATGGATCAAGCTGTACAGTGATAAAGAGTGCAAAGTGTGAATGAGATGAAACAGTGATAGTGAAACACAGCTAAAGGACAACTAAGTGCTCAGTGTTCACGAGGCTGTAGTATACCATAAGTATGTGCTGACTCATTTAAATTACGCTATGTAGTCCATGTGTGGACCACTTGCAGTGCCAGCCAGATGGAACCACCAACCAGCAGCTGATTTCAGCACTTACGTCAGTCTTTAAATTCTCCATGTTGTTTCATTGAATCTAGCTTCCAGACCAAACATCATGACTATGTATACAGCCCATGATTGACCTTATCAGACAATGAAGATATAACACCACAGCAGTGGGTGCTCGGTATGGTAGGGTTGAGCATGGGTGGACCTGCAGGGCCCTGGAACCATACTGCACTCATACCTGCACACACCATGCCCGCTATGGTATGGGTGTACACCGACCCACCAATTCTACAGGTATTAACAGTTTTTGTGGTATACTGTGGGGATTTCACAGACCTGCAGGTCATATAGTATTTCGAGTCCTGGAGACAGCGAACACCTCCAATTCTCATCTACACTTTTGTGCTGCGCAGGGGAAGAAGTGGCAAACATGACCATTTGCATTCTGAACAGCAACATGATCAGTATCAAAAAATCCAGATGCCAATTCTTGTTGAGTTTTTCTGTATTGAATTAGTAAGGCACTGACATAGTATAGTAGTATCAACAGAAGTCTTACAAAGTTCCGCATCCAGGTCCTCTTCATTGTCAGACTTTGTCACCATGTCAATGGCATTGACATTAATTACCGATGGCTCGGGCATTGCTGATGGTGATATTGAAGCTTGATGAAGACAAGAAGCCATGTTCATGTTATCTCAGGCAATTGATAAGCTTGTCCACAGCTTCACTCATCCCCATAGGTCCAGCAGGCATATAGAAACCATAGACTCACAGGGTCCCAGGTGTTTCAAAGATAATGAGTCCAAATGACTCAGTGTGTGATGATGTCCCATGAGACCTGCTAACAAGTACTTACAGTATAAATCAGCCTGTTGGTTGTTGTGACACCACCATTACACAATACAATATACATGCTAAAGGGATTCAATCATGGTCAGTCACTTTTGTTGTGTCCCTGAGAGCTGTCTAACATTGCGTCCAGAACTTTACTGTCTACTCGACCAATGCTTATAACTTGTTTGTTGATCTGTTGGCATCGATTCTCATAGGGTAGAAGTTTGTGAGTCATCAGATTTTGTTTGTGTTGTCAGTTGACATTTTGTTTCTGTATAGTACCTCATTCAATGTGGAGGTGTTTATAGCAGAGGACATTGTTGTCTCTTTGCCCCGTCAAGCTGTCATGGATGTAGTGTTCTTAGGTTGTGGTCTTGAAGAAACTGGCGTGCTGTTTGACAGAGACAAAGCAAGCTGAGGTATCACAGAATGGAGGGGCGAAGTGATGTGACACTGCTTGACAAACTTCTAGTGCCAGTCATCATGACATTGACCATGTTTTGTTTGATAAAGCGTAATCATGATTTCTCTCCCTAACATCATTTGGTTGGAGTCTAAACAATACCTTACAGACTGCATCCCCTGCACATCCTTGGCACAACAGCAACCCATTCAGCTGTCTAGCCAATGAGGCTTCCAATGCTCAAGACCAATTCTTTGTAAGTACTTCAGTCACATGCTAAGTGGTTTCAGAGCTCCAGAAGCAATGTGCTCCACAGCAACCCTACTTGTGAAAGACATAGTCAACTTCGACAGCATCTTCACACTAACAAGCATGGTAACATCATTCATGCCCACAACCAACAATGAGATGACTAAATTTGCATACACCCCAAAGATTGCTTACCTTCTGTCTGATTCATGCCTCATTGGTGACACAAAAAAACAGAAAAAATTTGAATTGTACTAAGGAAGCATGAAAAACATGTAATCTAACATACAGGATTTCTGACATATCATCTGTCATTTGTAGATATCATGTCAACATATAGAGATGTGAACATCTGTGTCAGGTGCAGAGGATCTGCAGAGGTCACCCTCACAAACATCACACCAACAGCGCATCAGGTGCAGAGGATCTGGAGATGAGGTGGATGGACTCACTCTCTGCAAGAGGTTCCACATGTAAACTCTGGAGGGAGACTCAGACAGCCCTATGAAACTATGGAGAGACATCCTGACAGAAGTAGTCTCTTAGATCATTTATTGGCAACATAAAAATAGGGTCTCACATACCATGAGAACATTGTCAAAGTGCTGCCAAGGGTGATCATTCAGATCTGAAAGAGTGATGAACAACAAGAGAACATGATGAGGGTCATCACACATTGGAAATGCATGTGATGCTGGTTGAGGGCCCGAGCGCTCCATATACATAGCAATGAAGCCACTGAATGAACAACTCCAGCCCCCTCAACTCCCAACTTGACACCCATTGATCTCTGGAAATTGTGCACTGGGCTCATCTGAAAGGTGATTCCTGTGAGTGATACTCTAAGATCTTCTGCAGATTAGAGCTGACAACTTCCTTGCCAGCAACTTCAGATACTCATAAAGATCTATCAAATTTAGCAACACCTGAATACCTCTTCCAATAGCTGTAGGTGAGGATTGGATATTGAATCCTGTAAGTAGACTACCTCATGAGTAATGGCTTGTGTGGTTCTTACAAGGATCAAAATTGAAGGGAGATAGGCCTCTGGACTACCAACAATCATTGCCATTGCCAGATAACCTGGTCTGATTCCAAGATCCCTGCAAACTTCTCTCATATACACAGCCCATGATCTGCCGTGCTAGTGGAACATCCAAATGCTGATTATGTCTTCATCTACCAGCAAGACACCGGCGATCACGCCATGCCAGACCATGCAAGGTCATACCAACTGGGTAAACAGTATTGTGCACTTACCTGATGGACAACACATCATCACAGGTTCATGGGACGGCTCACTCTGACTATGGGACCTAGAGAGCAGCACACAGATAGGCAAGAACTGGCAAGATGAGAATAATGTAGGATTTTCATCCATGGCATTGTCTCCTAATGGAAAGACAATTGCAAGCGGAAGCAATGACGGGAGGGTGAGGTTGTGGGACATCAAGATGAGGAAGGTCATTGCCAAATGGACAGGACACAGCAATGTTGTGTTTGCATTGTGCTGGAGTGCAGATTGCCAGCAAGTGGCGAGTGGATCTTGGGATGGGACAGTAAGAGTCTGGAATGTTAAGAGCTATCAAACTGTCCTGATGATGATCGAAACCAGGCACAACTGGGTGTATGCAGTGATGTACTCACCCGACTCATCACAACTTGCAATGGGGGAGAGTGGGAGAACACTGTAAAAATCTGGGATGCAAAAACAGGTGAGCTTCTCAAAACTGTTAAGAACCATGCTCAAAAGAGAGAGAGACTGACTCAGAGGGGCTTGGCCTCAGCTCGTATGCTGTGCCCCTTACCTGAGTATGTGCCCTTCATTTCAGAGGAAGTCCAATGATGGTCCAATGAAGTCTGGAGGACTTCCGGAGGCTGGCTACTCTGGTGGAGAGTGCGGGAGGACTTCCAGAGGAGTGCGGGAGAGTTCTGGAGGGATGCAGGAAATGCTCAGGAGAGTTCCCACTGCAAGGTAATACTTCTACAGGAAAACAGGATGGACGGATAGGAGGTCCGGAGGTATGGAGGACAGGATACCAGGACACCCAGAGGAACAGAGGACAGGAGGTCCGGAGGTCCGGAAGGAATAGGGGCTACATAGGACAAAGTCCGATGTAGAAGCAAACAGAGGTAGACTACCCTAAGGTAGAGTCAGAGGGACAGGAAGTGGACCTAAGTCTGGAAAGAGGGTAAGTGCTGGAAAGGCAAGACTCCAGCCTAGGGAAGCAATCCCTAGACTTGGGACAGAGACATAGGGGGCAAATCCGAAGGTCCAGAATTCCGGCCTAGGGAATCCTTCCCTAGGCCTTATGGAAAAGGACAAGACTCAGACGGACTGAAGTCCAGAAGATGATTGGGCAGATCTAAGGTGATATTCAGACTGAGGACTCTACTGTAGTTGTACAGGGGTTATATACTAGAGGCTATCTGAGAGGATCAGTAAGCAAAGGAGTAAGGCTATGTACGAGCATGTGGAAACACATTGGTAAGTAAGACAGAACATAAGTAAATGAACTCGGAGATGAAACTAGTACAAGGATCAATCAGCAAGACGGAAAGAGAGATAACCAAGAACTGGAAAGGCGGCGATGCCTAAATGGGGATAGGCGCAGGATCTCGGATAGAGGGTGGGAATAGGTCTGGAGATAGTAACAGTTAATATCCGGAGGTCCAGAGATCTGGGGATCTGGAAGGCAGGACAGAAACAGGACTGAGATATGTGAGGTGGTGGATGTAGTCTGGAATCTGAGAGGAGGTGAAGTCTGGATGTCTTGCTGGATGGAATGTGCATAGGGTGGACAGGATAGGGGATCCAGGAATGAGTTGGATATGGGGTCTGGAAATAGGTCCGGAAAGCATGGGAATATGATGGGATCTATGTCTGGCATATGGGATATGACAAAAACACTCAAACATGATGGAATTGTTGGACTCCGAGAGATCTGAGAGCACCAAGACTGAAGGATCTGAGATAGAGAAGGGAAGTGAGTGAGAGGTACAAGCACAAGCCAAAATGGGCAGAGGTGAGTGACGTATTGATGTCAGCTCGCACCCTACATTATTTTCTATGTTTCATTCTTATATCCGAGTCATAACAGTACTCACCTTAAAAGTGTCAGTAGAAACGCCCTAACATCTCAGTTCTTTCAAGATACTGAGATGTAAGCCTTAAATATCATCACCCGCATGCTACAAAGTCTAACAATAATGTAGTGTACTTGTTGTATAGGTAGACGAGACATTAACAGAGTTCTTTCAAGATACTGAGATTGTACTTGTTGTATAGACTCCTCGCCCCTCTCGCTCGTCTCATAACAAGAGGAATGGCTTGCAGCTTGGCATGGACGTCGGACCGGAAGAAATTGGTTGCCGGTTCACATGGCCTGATGAGGATGTTTGACACTGCCACTTGGCAGCAGATCGCCATCCTTAAAGGTCACACAAATTGGGTCAACACCATCTCCTTGTCTCCCAACAACTACCTCCTTGCAAGTACATCATATGATAAAACAGCCCGTCTATGGAATCTCGACACCAACCTCCAAATCGGACTACCCCTCCAGCACGAAAATGAGTTGTGGTCCGCGGCCCTTTCCTGTGATGGAAAGGTGTTAGTCACTGGTTGCCAAAACAAAAACGCGTACACATGGGATGTCCACGCCATCCTCAAAGAAGCTAGCCTTGAGGACCTACTTTCCATTGGTACCGATGTTGTGAGTATCAACATATCACCCGCTCTCTCTCACTGACAATGTCCGTTGTTAGCCACCAAAAGAGAGACTCGAACAGAAGGCATCTCAAGATGATGCAGGAACACAGTACACACCCCGCTCTTCGCTCAGTGGCAGGTCATTTTCGAGAGTACGTGCCGTGTTTTTACAATCCTTCTCATTCATCATAACAGTAACATTCCAGGCTGATGCTACGAGATGTCCTGGCCAGTGTGGCGATGTGGATGATCCGAGTCTCTCGCCGACATTTTTTGACGCAATGGAAGCCGATATTGCTGTGCGTAATCAGCATTCCTATCACTTTGTTCTTATCTAGACCTCTGTACTCTCAGTCCTCCCCCATGGGTGGTGCACACACCCATTCGTCGGCAAATGCACTCCTCGCTCCTCCGCCGCTTTCGACCCGACAATGGTGAAACGACCGAACTTCCACAATCCTCAAGGCCTTTGGGGTTCCAATTGCACGCACTCATCGCTCGCCTGTCATCACTCATTCACAGCTTTCCACCTGAAAATAATGCACCAAATGGACTTGAGCAACATTCCCGGTCGCGGTTAGATCCACATGTGCCCCTAGCTCGCCTTTCCTCACTTCCCCCCCGATCCCGACTTGGCACAGAGGAAGGGGCCGAACCCCATCCCACAGTGCCTGCGAGTTCACGTCCAGACGCAATCATCGGCCGGTTGTCCTTACTCTTCCGCTCTCCACCTCATACCAACGAAGGAATCGAACTCCCGCAATGCTCAAGTCGTTCTCATGTTGTCGAAGTGGCTGCAGTGCGGGACAAGCAGGTGTGACACCTTTGTGCGTTTACGATCGCCGTGATTTACTGATTTCTGTTCAGACTTTGGTTGTTGCTCGGGGGCCAGAGTATGAGAAAGCAAAACGAGCATATAAGCAACAAACCCAATCGCACGGCCAAGCCCAGGCGTCGTCATCACACACTCAGCCTGCTTCAACATCCGCGATACCTCCTGCTCCAGGTATTACTACCGTAGGTGTAGTAACCGTACAATCACGACCCATCCCATGGTGGGCTTAGATCGTGCTATTTTCTCTGCTGTGCACCTCCGCCGCACTCCAATGGCCAGTAATACAGTTAGCGTAAAGTATTTGGACAACTATTTCGCTCTTACTTCTAGCGATTCTGCACTTGTATCTTCGTCGTGTCTTTCAGTGTACCATCATTTTTTTCCCTCGTCGTGAGACTCGTGCAATGTATCGGACACGATAATGCTAATTGTTTTTTCTTTCTGAATCCTTGTTTATTGTCCGTTGGGGCGAAGCCCTATGTTGGACACTACCTACATTATTATACTGGCGGTTACTCTGGTTCAATTCTATCCGTGGTGCCTCCGCTATACAATGGTTCCGGCCCCCGCGAGAACGGGTAAGGCCTTCTTCAGGCTCTTGATAGAGGGAACATCATCACATAACTGACCTTCTCCATCTGCTGTGTTTTATGAAATTACGATCTCGTGAAACGCCACGGAAGTGCATCCACACGGTCCGAAAAACAATGGTTCCGAAATATGATGTGTTTCGAAGGGTGCACTGGCGTCACACAACAATGATCCTCCACTGATATCACGGTGGTGGACGTTATCTATTGCTGACTGAATCGAGTCGTGCCGTTGGGCTTATGCGCCACGTGGACTGTGCAACAATGCGTGCGGGAGTTCAGAAGGAAGTTATAAACGGACGAAGGAGCACAATGAAGAAATCCCTGAAGTCGATGGAGCGTGCTCGGTCCTGCTTTAATGTCACGGGAAGTCGATAAGGGCTTTGACACGTGTAGGGGGACGTCTGGTACCAGACCGGTTGCTGACCAGCACATGGTGATTGAGGAACAGTCGAGAGGATCGTGATCATGTCAAATTTGCTTTCAGAGTGAGGGACAAACAGAAGGTCGACTGTCTTACTATCATCTTAGGCCGTTCTTAACATTGATTACGCAGCGTAGCCGAGAAGTTTCCTGGATTCGATACCAGATATCGATGAGCACCTAGCCATGGTACAGGTATTGCATCCGTGGATATAGATGAGCATTCGGACGACCGCCCTCGACATGCGTGATTGATTCCTTATCAGCTTGCCATACCTCCTCATACCCAATAACATTGTTGAGATCGGAATGTCCGGTGTATGCTGGAGTTCAAACATAGGCTGGAAGAAACGTGCAGAGTAGAGAGGGAACCCAGGACGTTGTCGAATGATTGGATGGAAAACTCGTCAGCCTTCTTTAAGCAGCGCATAATCCACTGAAACACCAGTATAACCACTGGCAGTGCAGTCGGTTGTCACTCCGAATCGACATTGCCACTCGATGAACCTGCAGTCAAAGTATGGGTGGATGTGGATTTAATGTTTTGGGAACGAGTGACACGGTGACAGCTCCGACTCGGGAAGTTCATAAAAATTTGACCCCCGCACCCTCGGACAAGCTTGAGGGCTCCACACCTGCCCAACACCGCAGACCGCCACGGGTAAGCACAGTGTACGTGCGGGTCTCCATAATCCACACCGTACCCGCACCCGCCACGCCCGTCAGCGATACACCGCGGTTTTACCCGCACCCGTGCTTTACCCTACAAGTCATCGATACCAACCTCTTACTATCATTATGGGGCGCGCCTTTTTCCCAGCACAATTATAGATTCGTGGGTTGTCCCGTGTATTACAAACTCTCTGGAGGATGGTAGTTTTTCCTGACCTGAAGCCAGCATCTAGGGCAATGGGCAGCGGGTAATGGGCAATATATATGGCTGCATACACGATGCATCGATGAGTCCTTGATTCAGCTTTATGTAAATCAAGATCCATACTTGAAGTCAGTTGACTGAGGTACCAGGCTGTGTGGGCGGCCCACAATCGTCTATGTACATATTTGGATCTGCTTTCGTGCAGTCTCCCATAGTCACTGGCAGACCCTGCAACTACTAGAATTCAGGAAGACAGTCGTATCCTTCATTTATCCCAGTGAGTCATAGCAAATAAATCGAATCAAATGTCTGTAAACTCTACGATACTACTAGGTCCGTCTTCAATGATACCGTACGCTGAGCTTTGGCAGCTCTTCGTTCTCCCTCTCTAGCTCTCCGACTAGCACGTTCTATTGCGTCTCTCCATGATAAGCATTCCTTGATTGAGTTTGCTCGCAAAACAATGGTATCGCCACCACGCGGGTATGCAAGGTGCAGGCGAAGCAGAGAGTCGTCTATAACACAATAAATTCAGGGTTGTGATAAGTAGAAACCTTACAAACCTCGCTCGTTTCTCGACCCCTTTATTTGTACTTCGTTGAGAGGTATGGGCTATCGCACACGTCAGCACCCATTCTGACAATGACGATAAAAAAACACTCACAACACGATATAAACCCTTGCCCCCTTCATGCGTCAGCACAAGTATGTCGCTGCACAGGAACAGACGAAGTTTGCGGCCGCTTTTTGCTTTGCTTATCACCCCTTCCTTCAAAAGCTTTCGCGGTCCCAGGTGGCGAGTTGGAGCAGTTAGATCAAGGCGACTGGAAAGACAACTCAGCATCATCAGGAGTAAATGTGCGGGAAAACGCGCACCCCTGTCCGATCCATAGATCCTTGCTAATCTCACTCAGCCTTTCCTTCCCTTCTTGCTCCCGTATCGTCTCGTTCACGTGCTCTAGAATCTTCTCTGCTGCGTCCAAAGCAGCACTGATGTTTCGTCGTTCCTCGGCATCGCCTGGTGAGTAGCCGCTAGTTGCAGGTTGAGTAGCAGTGTTAGTGTCAGTCGTTGAGGGGCGATCGGTGTATTGAAGGATTTGACGAATGAGGAGAGGATATCGGGTAAGGCGCTGCACTAGAATAGAAAGTCAGCTACTGAGGACCACTACGTTTGGTACCGAATGAGCGTACTAGGTACGAGGAGATAATGTGATAAATCAAGAGATCGAGCAGAAGGGTCATCGCGGAGGCGCTGAGAGAAAGGTCAGTAAACAACTAACAAAACATTGGCAACGTACCTGAAGTTGAGCAGCAAGGTCAGCATTGCTGTCTCTCATAGACTGAAGAACCTTGGCAGCATTGAACTGGTTCACGCAATACGACTAAACAAAGGTGAATACCAACGACGCGCGGACTGAGGAAGCATATACCAAATAAAGGTGCATGTTAGGAATGTGAGTCTCCAGAACATCGCCAATGTGGTCGATATAGAGCCGACAGTCTTTCTGACGCTCTTCAAGAACAGAAAGGAATGTCTACAAAGCTGTCAGTTATGGCCAAGCCATTAAACGAGGGCACGGAGAACGTACAGTATTAGTGAGTAGTATGTCTTCAATATTAGCAAATATAACAGTGGTCGCCTTCTCTCCGAGCGTGCCCATAAGTCGAGAGTAGAACAACTGTCATAATAACATGAGTCATCCGAACACGACAACGGCACTTTGAACCATACTCCAACGATGAGCTGCAGGTCGCGAACGTAGTCTGCTTCGGTGGAGATAAGTTCAAATATTGCCTGCAGATCGTGAGACATAGCAACAACACTGTAAGCACACCATCATCATCTCACCTCTTGTCGCCGCCGCTCCATCTTAGGAATGCCCTCGAGCGCCGATTTATCCACTAAACTCGCCCACGACTACTCACCTCAATACAGCGCCCGATAACAGCAAAAAAGACACGCACCGTGCCAAAACTAGGGCCCTCATCTCCAGTCTCACCACCAAGAGGCGTATTGACGATAGGACCAGATATGACCAACGTTTTCTTCTCAGGTTCCGGCGTAGTCGACCTATTCGTATGTCTCCCCAAAAAGCTCAAAAACTGCGACGTACGACTCTCCCACTCTCGATGGGTAAGACTAGGCGCCAAAGACACAGCAGGCGAGCGCGGCGGCGACGAAGGAGTGGTATCAAAGGATGAGACAGACATCCTATTGTTGAAATTCACATTCGTTTTCTTGAAAACCTCGTACCGGTCGAAAGCGTCGTCCAGACGAGACGTCGAATCGAGTTCAGTATCTGTCAAGTCGACAGTCGGTACCGGCGGAAGATTCTTCGAAGTCACTGGTGCTATGGAAACACGATGAGGGGTCACGGGTGGAGGGCGGCGCTTCTGTACTGGCGGATTAGGCGGCGCCATCACACGCGAGCTCGTATCTACAATCAGACCCGCCGCCTCCAACACTCGTTGACGTTCAAGCTCTCGAGCGTGTTCGTCCTCAACAGTCCCATCTTCAGACCCTTCTGAATCGTCATCTGACTCGTCCATCGAAAAATAGTCCTCGCCCCCATCGGAAGACCTGTCAACTCGGTTGTCATCATCATCAGGTGATCCACTGGCAGCTGTTGCTCCCGTAATGTCAAGACGTTCGACGCTGTCAATGTTAGTCGACGGCTTCTCACGCGGGTTCACGCGCACGAGGTGTGGAGATCCGGCGGCTGCAGACAACGAAAATGGTATTTCCAAATCGTACATGTAAAAGAAAAGCAAAAGAATAGATTTTAGTCTAGTTGCCACCGGCGGTCAAGGTTAAGAGGAAAACTCAAGGGGGAGGCGACAAAATCCACGAACCCTCTACTATCTCCAGGTAAGCCGCTGGCACGATGAAGACGATCCCGTCTCGTTCAGCTTTCCACCAATCTGCTTCGCTTCTATCTATGATGGAGAGTTCGTCACCTTCCGCAAAGGGAAGCTCATCTGCGTTCTCCCCTGCATACGAGTACAAAGCATTTGCTTTCACTACACATGTGATGAACATATTGAAAGAAAAGTACATTGACGTTTACGTACCTGGTTCCACCATTTGTACGTATGTTTGTGGGAAGAATCCGGATTTGCCGTCCTTGACGATGGTGCCATACCACCAATCGCCTCCTGTCTTGGATGGATGAGCAGTAATGATCAGGTTCTCAACAAAACCTAACAAAATAATCAGCGATCAATCACACAGATAAATAGCGAGCATACTAAGATCATCAGGTCTCTGTCCCTCATACGTGTAAAGCGATCGCACACGGAACTCTGAAAAAAATAATCAGCTCCAATTCTCCCTCTACACTGTGACTGCTCACCAGTAGACCTATCAATATCATCCATCAGATCAGTCGTTGCCTCAGAAACTTGAATCTCCGGCATCGCAGACACATCCTCAGCTCCCTCCTCATCCTCCTCGATAGTAGCTGGCAAGTGATGCACTGCGCCATGGTCAGCAGCAAGACCAGTATACCAATCAACCGATTCCTTTTTACCGTGTCCTGAAGTCGACCCTCCGGGGATGTGGGCTGCCTCGGTGATGGGCTCTTGAGGTGAAGGAAGTACAAATGCTGCTGATGCAATAGCAGCGGGAGGCGACGCTGGACGGGACGCAGCATTGATATGAGCAGGAGGAGCAACATCACCAATAACTTTGCCAGAGGTCGCTGCAGCACTGCGGTCATTGGTAACAGACTTCCTCAATCTTGCTCCTCCTTGGATAGCGCTCAAGAGGGCATTGCGATCACCAGTTGGAGCTGGGGAAGCGATATTGACTGCTGGTGGCGGGGGTGCAAATGGCGCGGATGGCGGAGAGGGTGCAGCGAGTGCGGGTGGCGGAGGTGCAGCAGGGGGAGTGGGAGCAAATGGTGCAGGAGGCGCAGAAGGTGGCGGCAGAGGCACAGAAGGCGCAGGACTTCGAGACTTCTCAGGCCCAGTAGATTGCGGCCTTGAAGGCAACAAGTTCCCAAACAGCTGTTGCGCCAAACCCATACGTGTATCCCTCGAACCCAAATCCTCATCACTACTATCATTCTCTTCGTTTTCCATGACGTCATCCCAGTCATCTTCACTATCACCTCCAGCTGTGTTGTAGGTCGTTTTGCTCGAGGGTCCGGGACTTTTCGGGGGAGCGGGCGCGGTAGGTGGAGGCGCAGGATTGTTGAGGAAGAAGGGGTTGCTGCTACCGTTGGACGCCGCAGGGGTCGAAACAGCAGACCCCCCCTCCTTCATCATTCGACTGAAAGGATTGGTACTCGACTTATTTACAGGCATTACGGGCGGCGGCGGCGGCGGCGGTGGTGGAGCAGTAATAGTAGGCGCCACTTCCTCTGGCCCAGACTCGGGCTCTGCTGGAAGAGCAGGCGGCGGCGGCGGCGGGGGGGGGACGGGAGACGTAGGTGTAGCAGGCGTGGTAGGAGATACGGCAGATTTACCAGCCAAGAACTGCTTTCGGCGTGCCAGGTATAATTCTTCAGCACGACGCGCTTCCTCCTCCTCTTCCTCAAGCTTGCGGAGGAGGGCAGCGTGGTCTTCTCGTTTCTGGCGAAGGGCTGCTTCACGGGCTTTGAAAGCTGCGTCCTCCGGGTCTTCTTTGGGTACAGTAGGTACTGGTGGAAGAGCAGGTGCTACGGGGGCTGGCGGGGGAACAACAGCATGCACAGGGGTTGGTACTGGGGGAGCGGGAGCAGGCGAGGGCACAGAAGATGGAGTCGCAGGTGGACGAAGAGCAAAACCCTTCCTTGGTGGAGGTGGAGGTGCACGTGGTTTCAGAGCTGGCGACGCAACCTTGGGTGCAGGAGCAGGAGCTGGGGCGGTGGTAGTAGGTGTAGGTACAGTAGACGTAGGTTGAGGAGTTGCCTTGGCTTCCTTGAGAGCCTTCTCGCTTTCAAGTCGTTCTCTCCTAAGCCTCTCGCGCTCTTCAGCCTGTCTCTCAGCTTCCTTGGCTTTCTCCTCCGCTTCCTTCTTCTCCTGAGCGAGTCTGTCTTCAACACTGACATCCAAGGTAGGTGATGTAGTCGACGATGGGGCAGAAACGCCTAGAGCTTGCATACGCTCTTCGAGACGTTTCTTGGCTTGCACTTGGATAAACGCTTTGCGCTCTTCAGGTGTCATGTTTTTCATCCCTGGAGCAGGCGAGCGGCTGGGGGCTGCCGGCGGTGGAGGTGGAGGTTGCGATATGTTGTTTGCCGGAGCAGCAGGTGGCGGCGGCGGCGGCGGAGTACGCGTTGATGTCGACAGACTACGATCTAGATCCCGATCGTCATGGCGGTCACGGTACGACCTATCCTTGTCATAGTCTCTGCCATCCCTATCGTACCTTGATGCACTGCGAGAATAAGGTCTATCGCGGTCATCATCTCGATAGCGCAAGGAAGGCGAATGCCGGCCATCCGTATCGTCAAACCGACCAGATCTCTCATTCCTCCTATCACGCTCTCTGGCGTACTCGCGATCCTCCCTCTCTTTTCTCGCCTGGCGGTCCTCGATCTTGCGCTCGAGCTCAGGTACGCGCTCATGCATGAGCTGCAAAAGCTCTCTCTCCAACCTCCTACGCTCCTCCTCTTTGCTTGCGCTCCTCGGACCGCGGGAGACATAGTCCAGATCATCTTGCAGCCGCTTTATGCGGTAACGCAGATCGCCCATCTCACGATCGAGATCATCATCGCCCGCATCTGCTACTGCGCTTGCATCAAGCATCTTTTGCGTGTTGGCAAGTTGACGCTTTATATCAGACATATCTGCGGTAGGGCTGTTGTCTTCATTGCGCGAGCGCACAGTGCTGCGGTCGAGATGCCTGCTGCGGGGCTGGTAGAACCCACCAGGAGGTTCTGCGTCGGTGTGCTTGTAGACTGTAGCATCTTGTCGTCCGCCAGCACCTGGTACAGATGTAGAATTAAATGAGCGCTCTTTGAGACGCGAGACAGGAGTGTCAAGACCCAATGGAGAGCGGGCGCGTGTATCGTTCTTGAGAATATCCTTGAGGAAATTAACAGAGGTATCAAGATCTCGGGAGGAAGGAGGGATGAGTTCGGATGGAAGTTCATCAGGTATGTCATTGCCATTAAGTTCTGGTGTTGCGTCAGTCGTGTGAAGTAAATGAGGAATGCAAGGACATACTGCGGTAGATCAGGCCCATTGCGACATGGAATTCAGCAAGGTTGAGCTTGCCGCGGTTATCAGCGTCAGCAAGGGTCCTACATCGACATTAGGGACTTGATGTGTAATAAGACAATTTTGATAATCACCAGATGCGAGCAAGATCATTCTTATCGATTCCACTTTGGCCGAAGACCTCGAGTGCAGTCTGACCGCTGATGAAACCAGTGCCTTGGGCATCCCAGGATCTGAAAATCTGGTCGTATTGCTTCTTTTCACCCTTGGAGAGCGTCCATGGGATCTTGGGTGCAGACCCTATGCCTCGTGTCTGATTATGTTGCTGGAAGGATTGCTGCAAAGATAGACCGCCCAACTGTTGTTGGGGAGGGGCAGCAAGCTGGGGCATTCCTCCCGCACTATATGGTGCAGAGATATTGGCAGGTAAGAACGAGTTAGACATCATCTGCAACCGTGGGTCTACGAAGCCAGTTGCTTGGGGTATCAAGGGCGCAACAGTACGACCCGCAAAGCCAGTCGGCTGGGGTACGAGGCTTGGGTTTCCACCGAATCCTGATGGAGACGGGTGTCCGAAACGGTGCGCCTGTGGATTTGCGAACCCAGTCTGTTGGTGTAACTGAGGCTGCTGCTGGAATTGAGGCTGTTGCTGGAATTGACTTGGAATGGGCGGGACAGGTGGAGGCTGCTGCTGCTGGAATTGACTTGGGATTGGCGGGACAGGTGGAGGCTGTGGACGAGCCTGCTGTGCAAAGCTATTCTCACTTGGGAAACCCGTAGGCTGGGCTTGCAAAATACCCAGTCTAGAGGGACCAGGGCCCAGGTAGCCTGTCTGTTGAGGCTGCTGGTAACCCTGCTGTGGTCGCGCGCCTGGAAACCCAGTAGGCTGTGGAGCAATTCCACCAGGATGAAAACCACCACCAGCTATTCCTCCAGATTGGAAACCGGGTTGCTGCTGAAATTGAGGATTCTGGCCAGGCTGAAATTGTTGCTGCTGTTGACCTGGATAACCTGTGGACATGGGATACTGAAATCCCGGCTGGCCCCACTGCGACATCGTACCAGATTACGCCTGTGCAAATTTAAGCTGATATGAAGATCGAAGAATGAGAGAAAATAGGTCTTGTCGTTGTAGCACACGGTGATGAAACTACCCTTTAAAGCGGAGACTGCGCAGTTTAAGCCCAAATTCAGAATTAGAAAATAATTCATCTAATTAATCCATTTCCATAACTCGTGTTCCTCCTAGGTTGCCGCTTTATTGCGAACGCAGAACCTGTCTCTGATCGTCATATCATAGGAGCGACGTTGTGATGCATTGTCAGAAGCTTCCAGATAATGATTATTTTTTCAACGATTGTAACTAATGCAAGTGCCAGCGCTGAATACTGCAAGGTTCAGCAAGGATGCAGTCTACCGCCACAGGGGTATATAATTCACGACACCCACTGCCCGCCTGGGAAATTCAGTTAGAGTGGCAAGACCAACATCTCTGAGGATGACGTGAATGTTCCATGGGTACACATCTTTGTCGCGACAACCAGCGACTAACACTAGGTTCCATTAGTTGAAAGGGCTGCACATTGTACTCTCTCTGTGCTGGAGGGGAGGTCTGACTGGAAGGTTTGTGTCGAGAATTCACAGACGTGCCGTTTCATCATCCGATGCACATGCAAGCAGGCGGTCGTTCCGAGACAAGCTGATGATGTTGACAAAGTTGGTTTTACCTTTGAGGATGGACTCGGAGCTCTCCGCCCGGGTGACTGTCGAAGATCCCGGAGATGAGTTTCTTTCCATCCAACGTCCATGCCAAGCTCCAAACCCATATTTGAGCGTTATGAGCATGTTTGCATCCCTGATTTTTACACTGTTGTTATAACGCGTCCCCATCGCAATTTTGTTGACTCGGGTACCATGAGAATATCACCGCCCACACGTAGTACTGGTGGCCGTTCTTGAATTCCATGCCATTATGTGTCCCGTCTCTGAATCGATCCACTCACGGCTCGCTCACCATTTGGACTCCAGCACATTGACCACACAATCTAAGTGTGCCCTTTCCAGACTTGACGTCCCACAACCTCCCATCATCGCTTCTGCTTCACCCTGTCCATCTCAAAAGTGGGGGAAGACAAGGTCGGCGGTACCAATATCAATGACGGCAGATCGTGAACTATGGAAGTCTGTCGGGATCTTTGAATTAAAACGGGTTATTTGGCGATTATTGGTCAGTCGACGAGCATACTTCGGTCAATACAGGCGCGCCAGGCATTGCGAGTTATATATGAGACAGCTTGCTTACAGGATATTAATTCTGACCGAGGATGACTTTGGACTGTGTATGCTGATGCTCTTGGAGATTCGCAGGAAATCCTTGCTGGGATCCTCTGTTACACGAGGTCAACATCCCCTGGTAGAAAATTGCAAAGTATTACTCACGAGAGCTACTAACGTCAACACGTGCCGACGCCGATGCACCGATGAGAGGGACAGGCTGTACACTGGGATTTTAGTTCGGAGGAAGTTGGGCACATGCTCGGAATCAGTATTACCCGGATCCTATCGGAGTCCAAATCGGAGTCAACTCTATCAGACCAGCCACGAGTTCCACAGCGTCCAAGCTCCATATCCACGCTGATTTATCTAACCCGTTCGCCAGTAGCGTGCTGCCCGCAGAGATATGTATGCAGCTCACCTCTAGCGAGTGGTCTCTAAATACTTTCACGGTCCTCGTCTCAGGCTTCCAAAGCTCTGCAGATCCGGACAATCACAGCAGCATCGACCATCCGTCGATATTGCCACTGCCGTATTTCTGCCCTGCAGACATCCCACACTTACTCAAACTCTTTACCCGCCTATAAGCGTAATCGGGGCCTGATCATTTGCTGGCCATTGGGGAAGATATGGCTGTAATACCTGGCATATCATCGGTATCAGGATCGTATACCCGCACCCAACAACTCCGTCGATGTGGAATTCATGGCAGTGTGATGCATCTCCTCGAGCAAAATCGCAGTTGAGTAGCTAATATATTCTTTGGATGCGTTCGAAGGAGCTGTGGTGAGCTGTAATCCTGACGGCGACGGTGATTTTGAAGATGACAGCGCTTTTCCTGCTAAAGCTGATGGTCAGCTTACCCACGCTGACGGCTCAGATGAAAATTCGACGTTACAAAGAGATTAGCCAGGACGGGGAACGAAGACTTCTTGGATGTCAGCAGCGGTCGTCCTTGCATATACGCTAACTCGCTTCTGCGTGACATGCGCATTATTTCGCTCATAGCCATCGACAAAGTTCTCATGTCAGAGCGTCAATCTCACGTACATTTCCCACCAGCCAGTCTCGTAAAACACGTATCTGAATGGCCAAAATGTTTGATTGTAGCTCACAGTTTGTTACTCGCCCTTCGTTGCAGCTTCTCTTTCAATGCCATCGTCTCAACTGTCCAAGTTACATACTTACCCAATCCTCTCCATCGACTTGTAACTTCACATATCAAGCATAACTGCCTGGTCTCGATATCTGATCGTGGTAACCACCATGGGTCACCCCCCAGAAAATGGTGATGCAGGCAGTGATCTTCGCACGACAACGCCCTCGTCATCTATGGGTCAGATCAGGATGATGTGCGACGTGCATCTTGCATCTTCTAACTTTTTGTCGGCGTGCTACAGTTCACACCACGGGTGCTCTCACTTTGGATTCACATCAGATAAAGCTGCCTTGTGGGCCATATTGTCAAGTCCGTGTGCTCTCACCCTGGATCGCATAACATCAGCCTACTTTTCTCCTATAGGGTAAGTTTACAAAAAGGCGGGAACCGGATCCACAGATCTCTCTCTCATCATCTTCGAGCGAAAGGTATGGAATAGTATTTTGATCCAGGCTGCGAAGCATGACAAGTAATTGCAGATCGCCAAGTCTTCAAGCCCATGATATATTGTCCGGAGTGTCATATGAGCTTTTTGACTGCAGCGTCCTTTATGCCACGTAGAGGGCTTGAAGCTGCAAGGCACACGTATGATTCGCTAGTCAGAGGACAGCCGTTGCGCCTTGGCAGACCTCTTTTGTGTCTTTGCGATCTTTGCCTCCAACTCGTTACTCAAGTTTTCGTTTTCTCGAGCTTACCCGCTCTTGCGTGTTGCAGGAGGGCTAACGCGGATAGAGGCTCCTCACATGGTGGACTCTCACGATAAGCAGGGCAGAGCGTGCACATTACGCAAACAACCTTAGCGTTGTGTTTGTCGAAGGGATCTTCGACCAGGCGGACGGCTTTCAGCTTGTCGAGTATTACTTGGAATGAGTGCATAGTAGCACATTCTAGAGACAGGGCTGATGAACGGAGGATCCACTCTAGTGTTTTTTTTTCAGTGTAGAGACATACGTGTACTGTAGTAGGTTCTGGACCAGAGCTCATACTATCATGGTATCATCAGACTTCGAATTGCATAGCACGGCGTAGATCGTAGCAGATGAAGATATTCTACAGGAAGGCGTGAAGACCCATGTAAGCAATATCACGGTCAGAAAGAAGAAAGCAATTGCAATCATAGCTAAAAGTAACCATACCAACAACGATACGAACATTGAATTGGCGTGAATGAATGTAGAAACTCCAGGATGTTCCTGAACGTAAACGTATCCTATTGAAGTCAGGTATTCAAGGCACCTCCTACAACACGCCGCACAGCAGCTCTCAAAGATACGAGATGCATGTTAACTTCATCCCAAGGCTCCCAATCATCCGCAACTTTATTAACTTGGTCGACGCAAGGAAGCCACTTGAAAATGATGCGAGCGAGAACTTCAGCATTTCCTATGGGAGACTCGAATGTTTCCAAGTCCAATGTTCGTAGGGAGGTGTGTTGTATCGGCTCAGCATTAGGATCGATATCAATGTTCACAGTGTCAATCAACACTCGGAGCGATTCCAATTGTGGACATTGACGAAGTGCTGTGAACAATCCGCGGAATGTAATGGAAGGACGAATACCGCAGTCTTCTATTTTCAGAGTGTGAATGTGCGGCCAAGCTGACATGGCTTCCAAGAGAAGGTTGTTGTCAAGGTAGATGGAGGAATCAAGACAATCGAACTGAAGAAATCGGAGCTGTGTGAAGCAAAGGAGATGTGTAATCGCTGTCAAATAATTGTTTTGGAGGTCGTGATATTCGCTCAAGATTACAGTAAGTTGTTCCAGAGTCTGTTTGTAGTGAGACAGCGCACGAAAGAGTCGCTCAGCCTCTGTCGAAGACACAACTTCGATCATGATCCAGAACCTTTTCAATGAGGGGAATTGTGAGTGTTGCAGGATTGTGGTCATGTATGCAGCACTGTCTACCGTGAAGGAAAGAGCTGTGAGGTTAAGAAATGGTGAAAAGTTGACGATGTGCCGATCCAACGGCCAAGGAGGTGCGCCATGACCGCGCACTTCACAAATTCCCACTTCCACCAGGGTGGGGAGGTTAGAGAGATGCTTCCATGCTGCCCAGTCGAGCGGTGGACAGGATAGCGTTACAAGCTGCTTGAACAAACGGACGCGATCGGACAGAATGGACAGCTGATCTGCTGTGCTCTCAGGAACCGCAATAGATTGGGGCAGATCTGTATTCACGGAAAATACGGCACAATGACGTAGGGTGTGTGACAGGAATAGGCTCAAATGCGTGCCAGAGAAAAGAGTTAACGACTGCAGCCTCGGGAAGACGCATGCATCGACGGGGATTACTGAGAGGAGCGGGAAGAGGCGATCAGTGGATGGAATGTTCAATGAACGGATACGGGCAGAGTGATGCAGAAATTCACGGGCCTCATTGGCAGACAATGGTTCAATGCCTTCTGCCCAGGTGTCGTCCCACTATTCGATTATTAGATGCTCGGTCAACCCTTGAGAATGAACGAAAAAAGAACGGAGCGGAACGAGTCAAGACTAGCCTGCACTCACCGGCGCACGGCCACGACGATATATCAGTGGATGCAGCCTGGTTACACAACCTAGTAATGGTTGCAATCGATCTACTTCAGCCCACAGCAAATCCATCGCGGGCTCGTGGAAGGCTTTGCATGTCACTGCAAGCGATGCAAGGGACGTCCGAGACAGTGTTTTTTTGCCAGTAGATGGTATTTTATTCACTTGTGCGAATATGTCCAGGAGGACATCGGAAATAAGCAGAGCCTGATGCATCGGTTCTATGTTGATGGAGTACTAAGTGACAAAGACAAGCAGCCATTAAATATTGGCGGTGGTGCCGATTGTGGACAAATGCGCGTCAACAAAAATGCAGGAGGATTTGCGCGCGTTCCTTTATCCGAGTACCTCGCAGGTAGGTTTGAGCGAGATGAATATTTGATAGTGGAGGATAGGGCACCGGTACAAGCACAAACCACTAGTACTTAGATATCCTTACAGGTAGTCTCCCATAAGAATCCATATAGCTACAATATTTCTACGGTCCTGATGTCCATCATATCGCCAACAGAAGCTATGTCTTTGACCTGTGCAATGATACCATGATCCGATGCGATCCTCTTATATTCTCCACCGCGCAGCTGCGTCAGGAAAAGTGCGCTGAAAGGCTGCCCAAGGCGAGCAAGCAATCTCAATGCTCGTGAGTGAGATTCTGAATCAGGACAACCGCTGGGCAAGTCGTCCAACGGAGACTGGGGCACGGAGGACCAATCATCCTCACTCTGCGTATCCTCACTCTGCGTATCATCACTGGCAGGCGGTTCTGTAGGATCGGGTAGCTCGAGGAGGTACCTATTCCAGGGAAGGACAAGCAAGAACGTCTGCAAAGTGGGCCTCGCGGACTGCATCAGAATATCTTCCGTGGCGATCAGTAGGTCATGAAGTCCATTTGCCTTGACCTCATACGTGAAATGAGTCTCATGGGCTGGACCACTCTTCTGTCTGATCTTCGCGACACGGAATGTGATGCAGGGTAGATGCAGTCTGCGGTTCGTGAAACGAGGAGCGCTCACGTTGGCAAGCTCGTCATAAAGCTTCGAAGCCAAATTGACGACCCCGGTATTTCTTCGTAGTAAGGAGACTATTGTCCGAATGTCATCCTCAGACTGAGGCGGCACGGTGCGCGGCAAAGTTGCGTATGAGGTGATGTCGGCTGGAAGACAACTATTGAACCCGGATGATTGTCCGATCCAGTCCAGGACAGTGATGTCCCCTGACCGAGCCACGATTTCCTGCAGGAGCCGTCCAAGGGCATTGTGCTTATTCTCGCCATAAAGGACAGGTAGGTGGATGCCGAAGATGCCAAACAATGAATATGCAACGTCTTCCTGCAGCGTGGTCTCACGCATCGACGCACATCGCAGTTTCTCTCGGACGTTGTTCATCCCTGGACAGAAGGCCACGAGGGCCTGCGCATCCATGCCCGTCGCATCCTCCAGCTCCTTCATGATGGCTGGGGACTCTTTGTGGTTGGGAGACTGATCGTTGAGATATAACGACCAATCCTTCTGATAAAAGATAACAACTCTGGAAGCCACGAATTCTTGAAAGGGCCATCCTTGCTTGTTCCAGGCGCTATTCGCCAGTGCGCCAGGCCCGGATGAAGGAGGAACATCGCACAGGTAGACGATGGTAAGTGCCGAATGGCGGTACCAGATGAACATGGAATCGATAGTTTCTTGGATCTCAGCATCGTCATTCCTATCGACGCAACATGCATCCATCCACGCCCAGTAATACCCCGTATCACGAGCGATTTTGCAGAACGACTGCAATTTCACGATGCCGCCAACTGCATTTAACTCGTACACGACTTTATCCTGGACGTCGTGCAGCAGCGGCTCTATCTCTTCCCACCTGTGTGACAGCAAGACACGGCGGAAGTACAACGCCGCCACGTCTCTGATGCACTCCATTTGGAGGTCTGAATGCTTCGTTGTGAACGACAGAAGTTCCTTGTATGTTGCGCTCATTTTGAAGGAGTTTATTTGTGCTGGTCGATTGCACAAAAGACCCGTGGAGGTGTTAATTAGACGAAGCGGAGCAGATTCAAGCTCGGCCCAGGCAGCGGTTTGGATAGCATCTTCTACTTCGGGTGGAGAAACATACTGCTGACGCAGCTCTGTTGAACAAAATAAACATTTTCGACTTAACCCACGAGTGTTCTACCGGGGTCTTACCTCGTATCTGCGCTTCGGGAGCACTGTCCAACTTAGACAACATGGTTTTGAAGGCTTCGATAGCTTCATCGTAGCGTTGTGCACCACGAAGGGCTGCATGTTTCACCTGGTATCCAGTATAAGACGAGGGGTCGAGGTCAATGACCTATGCGTCGCCAAAGTGAGCATTGACTACAGCTCTACTAGATGTCATCGTACCTTTTGTGCATCGAGAAGGGCATCGTCCCATAGCGTCTTATCCGACTTGGCCTTGCTGCGCTTTGCAAAGATGACATGGGATGTAGAATTAAGGTCGATCGCCGCTGAGTATAGGTCAATAGCCTTGTCATGATCACTCGCAGCGAGGGCGGCATCTCCGTTAGCAAGGCAGAGCGTGCCGCATTCTTTCTTAAAAGCTGAGTGAAATGCAGGTGAGTATTCTAGCCTGAGTGACATTAAAAAATTAGACTCGCCGTTGGACCAGTCAAGGCAGCTGGCCCTTGCATTGTTGTCAATTGTATCCATTATATGTCGAAACGATTGCAGGGCTTCTTCAGGTCTACCTGCCCGAAGGTGTGCATCGCATCGTTTCTGGTGTGCCTTTTGCCACAAGGACTTGAGGTCCCAGCCGAAGAGCTGGGAAAAGCACAATTATGAAAAGCATTTTCTGATTTCTTATCTTAACGCACCACGATGAAGTCCTCACGAATGAAGTTTGATGAGAATGCGCTGGAGTTGATAGCGACAGTGAGATGGTCAGCGGCTTCGTCGTGACGTGCGTCATTCAAGGCTTTGATTCCAAGCTGAACACGTAGATGTGCCTAACGTACGATTTGCAAAAATCAGTGTTGTTAGCCAAGGCTAACGACATAATTCTCACTTCCACAACACGACACGCGAGAAGATCGACATTCGGACGGGTGGCAGCGAGCTCTTTGAGGAGCAACATTGCCTCCTCGAGTTGATCTAGATTGAAGAGGACGATGACCTGAAACGCACAATGAAGCAGATAGTATGCGAGACAAATGCAACCTACCTTGATCAAAATAAGAAAATGAATGGCCTCTGACTCTTGGTTCGTGAACAAGAACGCAATGTTAAATGCTATCCTGGCGTCCCGGATGTGGCCTTTCCCGCAGTGGGCTATGCCCTTGGAGATATAGCCTGTCAATGAGGGTTGAATACTGATGGACTACGTCGTAATGAATTTAGCCTTTCGTGGGTTGGCCATGATCGGTCAGTTATCTCACCTTGATTGCATCATCAAGGGCGCGGTCCCAGTCGTTTTTTCGCGCCATAACGAATGAGCGGCTCGCATAGGAAGTATAGTTGTTGGTACTGGTGTCGATCTCTTGGGTGAGTAGCTCTTCGACACGAGACAGATCCCCGGTTATAAGTGCATTGCGGGACGTCATGTCGATGGCAAGGATCTGTACAGAGCACGCTCGAATTGTGTCATACAAGCCAAGGATAGAAACATACGTTTGAATTAATGCCCAAGTTGGGTATCGCCCAATCTTCACCTCCGCTGAGGAGGTGCTTGCCATCTATGGAGAAAGTGACGTATGGAATCGAGTATGAGTGCTTGAAAACGATGATCGTTCGTCGATCAGAGAGCCGCCAGAGCCGGACATCATTACCCTCAGATACGGAAGCGGCGAGTGTGCCAGCCGGATTGATGGTAATGGCTTTGATACTGCCCATATGACCCGTCCAGGGATCGCCGACCTGATTCCAGGTCGATGTGTCCCACTCGCGTATGGTAGGATCAAAGCTATTGCCTCCTGAAAGAAGGCGAATGCCATCAGGTGTCCACGCAATCGTCATATTCCCTGTCGGGTGAGCCTCGAAGCTCGCTGTGCATTTCCCTGTGCCCGGATTAAAAACGTTGATATTGCTGTCAGTTGCGATGACAAGAAGCTCGCCAGATGGCGAATACCGAACGCAGCGGACGGAGCTACTCCAGGAAATTGATTTTGAACCTCGTAACGATTGATGCCATGTTGGCGTGTTCCACAGCTTCACCGAACAGTCTTCTGAACCAGTGGCTAGCTCTGTTGCATCGGGAGAAAAGTCCAGCGAGGAGATGCCATGGGAGTGGGCTTTGATGGGTTGCGACGTTAGTGGTTGTCCAGTTTCTCCATGCCAGGCGATGACTTCGCCGCTTTCATCACCGCTTGCTATCAATCGCCCATCTCTTGATACTGCCAATGCCAACACCCTATTGCGATGCCCTTCCATCTTCTTCAACATCGCACCTGTCTTCAAGTCCCACAGACAAAGCATTTTGTCGTGCGAGCATGTTATCATCCGTCGTTTATCGGGGAAAACAGCGACTGCAGATGCAGTGCTCTGACTATCTTCAAAAGCTTGAAGAAGTGGGATGCTTGGAATGGAGTGCGACATTTTACTGGAGGTTGATGATGTCGAGCACGGTCGAAGTGAACTTTCAAGAAAGATCGTGGATGTCTTTTTCTAACCTGCAGAACGCTCAAACGCCATCTGAGGTACAGAGAGCACCAATAGCGCAGACGACACACACATCCAACAACACTTCGAATATCCCATATCTGCTCCCCAGCCAAATCCTATCGCAGAATTTCAAACATAAAGGGGCCAGAACACTCCATCTTGAGTGATAATTAACGCCTGTTGATGAGGATGAAACGATTGATCCCGGATCCAAGCAAGTAGCAACTTGATCCTACCTATTCTTGAAAGCTTCTTCGCTATCGATGCCGCATGGGTGCAATGAGGTTCGTTATCAGTTATTCTTGGAGGGCTTGGCTTTGGACATTGAATGTAACTTCCGAGTGCGGTCATGGACTCCTAACGCCTCGATAGCGTTAGCGCTGGCTGGTGTATCCAGGTTTGAATGACCACGGACCACCGATGCGTTTCATCATCGAATCCATGGCTTTGAGCTGGCGACGATTCAAATTGGTTCGCTGAGCGGAGCGGCGACAAGGGCAGTGAGGTTGAGGGTACGAACTTGTACTACGAACAGTCCTACTGACAACACCGTCGCGTAGTACGCCTCAAGCCCAGTGAAAACTGACTGTGACGGGAGGAGTCGTCACATGCTTAGAAATGATTTTCCTTTTTAGTTACATGTTCGGATATGCTCGTTTATCATAATCTGACTCTTTGCACACGTCGTGCTTGCAACATTGCATTGTAAAGTGTTAACTTCGCGTGTTTCCCTTTGTTCTCTTTGCATAACCTCTCCTTGCTTTACTTTGCGTGTCTACAATCTACAGAAACGTCGCACTTTGGCGCATGTGTATGTTCAATCTATAGAAAACATGCCTACTACTACAAGCGAGTGCGCAGAAAATTCCAGCCTCTGTGTGCTCGAGATATAATTTCGGGAGGCCACACAATGTATATCCCCGAGCATCGTGATGTTGGATGAGCTAATGATAGTCGGGGAAGACATCGATGTGTGGTAAGTCGTGAAATGAAAGGTACCATGTCGAGACCGAGAACTTCAAGTTTCTCGATTCGGTATTTTCTGGCGGAGACAGAATATCGAATACAGACTCGGACAGTCTTGCTTTTACTTTATATCGAGCCAGTCTGTCCTATCACTGACTTTATAATTCTTACAGTTCTAGTATGTTCAGTATGGCTGGCGAGGGAGGCTCTAGCCTCTGGAACAACAGTGCATTTTCAGGGTCTTATACGCCTTCTCCTGGACCCTCCTTGGCAAATATGACGTCACCCGAGGCAGATTCGTTCTCACCACCCCCAGTGCAAGTCCCGCAGCCTCAATTCAGCTTGTTTCAGCAGGTGAGTCATTTGCTACTGTTTCTATTAACTTACTGTATGTTTTAGGGCGCATATATGCACGAAAACCAAGCCTTGCGAGAGCGTTGCGGAATCTTGGAAGCACAAGTCACCAAACTCTCCATTGAACGTGATACTATACAGTAAGATTTTGTATGTACTTCATGTGCATTCTCTAATGTAATGATAGGGCAATGTTTCACCAGCTCGCCTCCTCTGTGTGCCTTGACGAAGCTGTGGAGTCTCTTGGCTCCAAAGGCACGCACCTATCACTGGCAGCACCCTGCACCAGTAACACCAAACAGCCGACTCGTGAGACACATCCCAAGGTCAAATTTTGGAACCAGGACGCATTCTTGGATTGGGCGGAACGAGCTAGCGCACAAGGGCTTCATCGCGGGAAAATTCCTTACCTTGAAGGCGAAAACGGAGAACCGGTCCCTGAAGCAACAGTCAAAGCTATTCGCAAGACCCTGCGTGGAGGATGGTCAGAACTCGTAAATCGCCAACTTGCTCCGAAGTCACGAGGAAGCAGCTGCACTCGTAAGTCCTTGATTCTCTCGATGGACCTTCTAAATCATCATCTACTAGGTCGCTACCGATACATGGACCAAAGCTGTCTCCGAAGGACGACTTTATTAGATTCAGCACCATCCGATCCTGCACCATCCGACATATGCATTTCCTACAATGTTTTCGAGTGTTTTCGAGCCGCTGTCCGCACATGTCATGTTTTCAAGCCGCTATTTGTGTGTTTGAGCTTTTTTGTACCACCTTTTGTACCCCCGTTGCTACAGTGCCTAATATTATTTGAGCATATTTGCGCACATTTTCAACCGTCTGGCAAGGGGAGCGAGATATTATTCAAGCATATTTGCGCACATTTTAGACCATTTGGTAGGGGAGCGAGTATATGCGTTCAAATGCGCAAATATGTTTTACATTGAAAAAAGCACCTATGTGCATGAGGAAACCCGCCCCCGCATATATTGAAATGTGCGGATTCGCTCACTACGTGTCATATCATGTTCTCGTATGTTTTTCCACTGAGCTGCTGACAAAATCACTTATCGTCACACCACACCTCCTCCCGTCACAGTCAGTTTTCACTGGGCCTCAAGGCTCCCACGGTGTTTACTGATGTGTGTTGTCGATGGTGGAATCTCAGTTGATTCTAATTATACGTTTCACTTGAACTCGAAGCTGGAACGCATACCACATGTCACAGAACACTATGATCTTGCTTCAAGTTGTTACAGGTGCCCGAATATTAACATTATTGTTAGTGTGTGCACATCTGGGAGTGGGTAAGAGTCCGGTCTCGACAAAGTTTAAAGCTTGACGCAATATTTGATCAATCACGAATAGCATAGCACCACCTAGCTCAGTAGATGATTGGTACATCGATGGTTCCTAAGACTTGGGCTCCTGCTGAAGCCATCCCGACTTTGTTCACTTCAGACTACCGTGACGCGTTCGGAGGGAGATGTCGACGTAAGAGGTCGGAATCTGGAGACAACGATGCAAGCAACAACTTCGGGAGGTGACACTGGGTCGTCCAATCGAAGGGCATGCAAGTGGGAACATATTCAACTCGGAATTGTTCGCGGCTAAATGTACTGATTAATATTATGCAGACAAAGATGTGAATCTGTTCGGTAACTTTCCATGAATTGAGTGATTAATACGAGTGGGTGGGGATGACCACAACAGAAAGGCGTGAAAACCCACGTAATGCATCAATTCGGCAGTGAGAGGGGAGAAAACAATTGCAACCATAGTTAAAACCACCATACCGACACGAACGAACACGAATAAATGTAGTAACTCCAGATGTTCCCCAAACGTGAATACATCCCATTGAATACAGGTATTCGATGCAGCTCCTGTGGCATGTGGCGCAACGGCTCTCGATGATACGAGATGTTCATTGATTTCATACCAAGGCGCCCAATCATCCACGCCCTTGTTGACTTGGTCGACGCAAGGAAGCCAATTGAAAACGATGCGAGCGATAACTTCCGCATTTCCTATGTGAGACCTAGGTGTTTCCATGTGCAATGTTTGTAAGGAGGTATGCTGTATTGGCTCAGCAACAGGATCGATGTCGATATCCAAGGTGTCAATAGACAGTCGCGGCGATTCCAACCGAGGACATTGTCAGATTGCGGTGAATAATCCGTGGAACGTAACAGAAGGACGGATGCCGCAGTTTTCTATTTTCAGAGTGTGGATGTGCGGCCAAGCGGACATGGCTTCCAGAAGAAGGTTGTTGTCAAGATAGATGCAGGTCCCGGAATCACAGTCAGAGTCGCACACTCCGGAGCTGTGTGAAGGAAAGGAAATGTGGAGTTGCTGTTAAAGCCTTGCGTTGGGGGTCGCGATATACTTCGAATATAGTGAGTTGTTCCAGGGTCTGTTTGAAGTGGGACAGCGCACGAAAGAGTCGCTCAGCCCCTGTCGAAGTCAAAGCATCCATATCGATCCAGAAACTTTTCAACGAGGGAAATTGTAAGTGTTGCAGGATGGCGGTCGCGTATGCAGCACTGTCTACAAAGAAGGAAAGAGAACGACGGCCAAGGAAGGGCGCGACAACCGTCACAAACTTCGATTTCCACTAGGGTACGGAGGTTGGAAAGGTGCTTCCATACTACTCAGTCGAGAGGTGGACAAGACAGAGTTAGAAGCTGCGGACACGGTCAGACAGCAGGGACAGTCGATCTGCTGTGCTCTTGTCAAGAATTTTGTTTTGATGGATGAGTTTAACAAAGCAGTATCAGGAATCGCATGATTTGCATTGCTAGAAAATACAGAACAACTGCGCAGGGTGTTGGACAGGAATAGCCCCAAATATTTGGAACTGGGAAGAGACAACCACTGCAGCCTTGGGAAGACGCATACATCTATGGGGATAACCGAGAAAGCGGGACAAGGCGGTTGTCAGTGGATAATATGCAAATACGTGCGGAGCGACGCAAGCATTGGCGGACATCGTCGGCAGATCATGGTTCGACGCCTGCTGCCCAAGGGTCCCAGTGCTGCTATTCAGTATATATCATGGTTGGTCAGCCGATAAACGAAAAAAAAGTAAACAGAACAAGAATGGTCTGCACTCACCGATGCACGATATACCAGTGCATTAATGTAACCTCGTTACACAGCCCGACAGTAGCTCTAACCCATATGCATCAGCCCACAGCAAATCCATCGCGGGCTCGTGGAAGGCTTCGCATGTTGCCGCAAGCGATGCAAGGGATTTCCGATTCGGAGACGATGAATTATTGGCAATAGGTGGTATTCGATTCACATGTGTGAATATGTACAGGAGGATATCGGAAACAAGTAGAGTCAGTTCTCAGTTGATGGAGTAGTACTTGCTGAGAGTGTCGCCGTTTACATAATAATAATCCAGACAAAGAACAAAGGACTTGGGGTACACAGTAGGCGCCACCGAGCGCTTGTACATACACGAGCACAATATTGCGAATCCGAAACTGCGCGTTCCGAAGTTCGACAATTGTGCACACATCCCACGAACATAGGACCTGCATCTCGCATTTGAAATTTGACCAATGTAGTCACAATTAATTGAATCATAACATCGTCAATACGCTGAGTTGCACAGCACTACGTAGATCTCGCAAGCAAGAACACAAATTAGCGGGCACACGTACTCAACCGTGTCCGCGCGAAGAATTAAATGACTATCAATACACAGTATGACATGCCGTATCGCCCGTTAAACGTCGTGAAAATACATAAAAAAGACAAATGCCTCGTGACAAATATGAGGCCTCGTGGCAATGGTGAGGCATCGTGGCAAGGATACGATGCGTCGTGGCCGCGGCGAAGATATATGACGCGTCGGCGGCAAGATACGAAACCTGGCAGCAGAGATTCAATCTCTGCCTCGTCAGAGTAGGAAGCCAGCACGCACAAGTCTGCTAGCTACAAGCCACAGACAGGGATGACTTCCGCTCGACGAAATGACCAGAAGACAAATCAGCACGGCGAGCTTTCCAGCTCGAGCGCGAACGCGTGCTACATCGGTCATTGTATCGCATCGTCAATGTGGCAACGAGTTGAGGCATAGTGAGGACAGAGGGTATGGGGGAGCTTGTGGGCGGTGGGGATGATCGTGGCGAGGGCGTGTCAGATGATAGGCTACGGAGGCTGAGGACTGCCTCGGAGTGTCTAGATCGAGATGACTCTTCTTGCGCGCAAGGAGGAATGGATGTATCATTATCGCGAGGCACCTCCTGGATGCCATCAGTTACCAATGACCATCCATATTCGATCAGTCGTGTCTGGATCCTGCGCGCCAGCAGCACATCCTGCCCCTCAAGGGTCTGTGCATCTACTGGCGCAACATCCTCCCCGCGAACGCAGTCCCACGGATCTGTACTGCAGTTCGATACGAGGCTGCGATGGACGGTGGCGAGGAACATCAAGTCCGCGACTTGGCGCCAACTCTTACGAGACCGCTTGCGCACAGTCGCATCTGCACCCCCGGACCTGCTATTCTCCCTTGACTTGGCCTTTTTATCCCGTCTGAGACTTGTTGGCTGGGAGAGCGTGGCGATAGCTTGGGAACGCCGTTTGCGAAGTCGAACCTGCGCAGAGCACGGGGAGGCGGTGCCATTACAAGATGAAAACGGAGCTGATGGGAAAGACTGCGAATCAACGCTATCGGTTGTCCCATCGAACATATTGACATCCATTAGGCTTGCGACATCATCTGCGGATAACGTGGAAGGGAAGGGTATGACACTCCGGACGTCTGGTAGATCGAGGGGAGATGGTAGGAGCGCTTGCGACTGCGAGGAGCTAGCGCATGTCGCTGAAAGAGAAAGGGTGGGTGGGGCTTTGCAGGGGCGGGAGGAGAGCGGGAAAAGAAGGTTATAGTGCTTCGTCGATGGTGAAGACCTGATACGACGGTGCAAGTTGGTTGCGTCAACGAGAACGGATCCCGCCCGTGTTACGCGCGATGCGTGGTCTCTGACTAGTATTGGATGTGCTGCTATCGTTAAAGCCATGACGCTAATTTTCTCGAACTTGACTCGAAACCCGAAATTCAACCTGCGAATCAGTGATCTGATCCGATCGTTACGCGAAAGTAGTCTGCAGTAGATAAAGGTCAAATGAGAGAGAGGTTAGAATCTTCCAGCGATGACCAACTGTAAGACGAAATAAAGAGAAGAGAAGGTCAACCCGATCTTTTTGCCAGCGGAACCCAAACCTTTATATAAGGCGGACTGGCCGGTCCTGGGGAAAAGTGAAAGGTGTGAAACACCCTTTTGTGGGGAACACGAGGCGTGCTATCCTCTTAAAGACAAATAAAAATAAACATGATCCCACGACGCGTCGGTCACGTGTATCGTGACATTCAGCGAAGCTCCGAAGTCGTGGACGGGAGTCGGAACGATGGAACCATTGCAGCATACATGAAGGACAAAATGGTTTTGAGCTCTGCTGTACTTAGAGTTAGTGCGGCAATTCACGATGCTGGCTTCGCACTGAGATCTAACTGGATCCGCAGATCCGTGGCGGTATCATCAAATTTATTTTCTCCAATATTACACGACTGTACTTTGTACATAACGCTAACGGTATGAAACTCGCCGTGGTCACAAGGCTGCAGAGACAACTAATAACTAATCCGCAAGTTTCACGCCAGCCCGTCTCCAAATGTCCACCGTAGCTTCATTTCCAGCATGAACAGCATTCTGCACCGCAAGCCCCACATAACCTGCCTCATTCTCCATGCCCCCAAGATTCGCGCCTGCGCTCACAAGCGTATCGACAATGTCACCATGGCCCTGACGCGCAGCCTACCAACCTCAGCCACCTGAACCCACACTAAAATCACGCAACACTCACATAATATAAGGCAGTGTGTCCCAATTCGTCCCTGAGATGCACCAAAGCACCACTCTCTAGTAATTTCTCGACACATCTTATATTCCCATTTGATGCGGCGACATGTAAAGGACTCCGTCCGCTCCCTGGGTCCAAACAATTTACTATACCTCCTGGGACGACGACCTCTGCCGTTCCCTCAGTCACACCGGAACACGAGGTTGTACCTGCTGAGGTAAGGCAGAACTCAAGTCCCTCGATGTCATCCCGCGCGACAGCAAGATGTACAAGAAACGGTAAGAGTGCGGCCTCCGTGCTTGCGCGTTCTGCAGCAGTACGACTCCATGGAGCTGTAGCGTCCTGCGCTTCTTCCCCAATCACAATCTGAGGGATATCTGTCTTCCGTGCAGACGAAGAGAGGCGAACAAACTGAGAAAGCAGTCCCGAAAGATCTGTGTTTACATCATCTGATGACGGCGCCGCAGGTAGAGATGGCATGGGTGGCGTGAGCTCGCCTCTTAAAGAAAGGCTTATAAGTGAGCGCACTTCGGCTGCGGTAAGTTCGGGTTTTGCCAGAAGGTAGCTAAGCTTGGTAAGAGCACACTTTCCGATAGTCAGTTAGCTGAGATGAGAACTAAAAAAGATGACACACCTCGGGGGTCATGTCTCCGCCGGGGACAACACCGACTTGGATTAGTGTTTGTCCTGTCTCGTAATCACCTGACACAGAGCCTTTGAAACACTGAGAGATAGCGACGATCACGACGCCTCCGTCGCATGCATCCTTGAATGCAGCCAGGACATCTGGTCGTTGAGAAGCATTTCCGGCACCGAATGTCTCTAGAACGATTCCACGTGTTGGCGGGGCAAGGAATGCGCGAGCAGTGGCACCTGTCATGCCCGGGAAGAGGCGGAGAGTTGCTAGAAAGTGTTAGGTTGAATGTAAATGTGTTCTGTGTGTCCTTACCGACATGGGGACTCATTTCTTTAGGGAGATGTCAGTGAGATTATCGAATGAGATGAAATATTAACACTTTCCTTTGTAGGCTCTGAATCTTCGAAGGCTAGTCTGACGTAGGACGTCAATCCAGTTAACGACTATATCAATTCCAACTGAAAGAAAATTTATGACCACTACGGAGATGATATGTGTGCTCACATACCATTTACAAGCGGGGGGAAATTAGGGCTGTGAAAGGCATTGAGGTCATAGGAAGAGGCCTTAGATACTCTATTGCCGCGGTACAATGTATGATTGAAATACAAACTGCATTCTAGAACGAAGGATAAACCACAGCTGCATGATGGAAAGATCAGAGTTACCTGGTATGATGTAATTACCTGCAATAGACAGTGCGCCAAGAAGATTGTCAACAGCGTCGTTCCGAAGTTGCGAGAGGGGTATTTGAGCTCCTGTAAGGATCTAGTCTTATCACGTGAGGATGATCATATTATTGGAGGATGTAAAACGTACAACAGTTTTTCCGAGATCCTCGAGCAGGAAGCTGAGTGCGCTGGAAGTATATGACATGGTATCGGTGCCGTGTAGTACAACGAATGCGTCAAAGGAAGTGTAGTTCAGCTCGATCTCGGCGGCTATACGGATCCAATCTGTCCTAGTCAAAATTGTGAACGGGAGACTCATCTAAGAGGAATGCCAAAGATGAGCACCGTCCATTTCCATGTTGCTACTATCAAGCAGTGGGTTCCACTGGATTTGCTAAGATGTTGGCTGAGTGATGAATACATACGGACGACTGACCTCAAGAATTGCATAGCGTATGCGTTTCGTATGTCCGTGTCCAGGAACGATACTTCGGGGAGTTACAAGACTCGGCAGACGTGTCTCATAGACACCATCAGCGACATTTCGACATTCAGGCTGCTCAATCACTTTCCGAATCTGCGAAGATATAGAAGGAGACAGGGTACCCGTGCTACCAATCGGCCGGGAGGATCTAACCAGAAGGGTAGACTGATTGGATGCAGCCGGAGTCGTGACGTCATCTGAGTTGATTGGAGTGGACTTTCCGCTATTACTCCACTCTCTATAACCCTCTACAGATGCAGCGTTAGAGAAGAGGGAGTCTTGCAAAGGGTCATGGAAGCGTTTTTGGCTCCGGAGTGTGTCAGTGAGGAAATAAGGCTCGGGAACGTAACCTCGTGAGCTGACAAGCATTCCGATGGTCCCGCCTGTGTATATAACTAATACTCTGGCTTCATCCGAACGCGTTTCCATCGTGCTGCATGGAGTTGCTGTCGACCTGGCCGTTCCGATTCTATAAAGCCGGGGTGGCGGAAGTCCCCGTACGTTTGGTAATGTTGACGTCGGCACCTCGGCTGAGTTCCTCCGCCTCGAATACTCTCGCTGAGGATCGCCTACAGCCACGAGGGGTATGTCCCGTTCTTCTCGCGTGCGCATGCCAACTTACGACCACCGAACATCAGGCGTACGTCACCCATCTTTGATATCTGTTAGCTCGTCAACAAATCACCTCCACACACAGCCTGATCTACATTCTTAGATTTTTAAGCATGGATTCAGAATTTCAGTTGTGGTGTTGGTGTCACTGCATAGTCCAATGAGAAGCGCGATTCAACAATGATATAAGTGAACATGTCGGCTCTGAATGTAAAGCCGGTGCGACTTCATGTGAGTCAATTCGAAGAACGAAAGTACTGGATCTCAAATACGAATTCCAGACATGAGCGGTGCACGTGTGCGCCCAACTTTGAACGTCCCCTTTAAAACAATTGTCGCCGGTACTCATGCAACTTATGTTTCAGCATCCTTAAAGAACAGTTTAGTACTCACGTCAGTACAGTGCAAAGCTCCGGAATTACACCGTCAGGCTTGCTCGCCTTATCGCATGGGGTAAGGTATAGAAGGAGATAAAGCAGCATTGGAGCTGATGATTAAGCATGGGCAGTGATTTGTTGATTTCGAGCCAGATTCCCATGAAAGGGAAAAATTAGCTCGTACAAATTAACAAGTGCTCAACTTGGGCAGGAACTGTGTGAGAGCTTATCGCAAGCAGTAAATTACAAGCATGATCTTGTGATGATCATACTTACCAATGCCATGGTGTTCATCATCACGATGAGGAAGGCTGATAGTGGATATCTCGACGTAGTCGAAGAGCTGAGTGCGGGGCGGAAAATTCTAGGGGTCGGCCGTCAGTAGAGCAATCAATAATGCGGCATTGTTAATCTACCGAAGCTTTTGAGAGGTGCGAGCGTGCTACGAGCTCGGACGATGTTTCGCCACCAACGCTGCTGAGTGTTGCCGAGCGGAGTTCGAAAGGACCGAAAATTCTCACCTTAGGACCGTAGTCCGAATTGCCAGATCTGGCCCCCAGCTGGGCATGCGTATGCGTGGAATTTGCGCTGTTCTCCACCTCCAGCTTCGCGCCTGGAAATTGACGGTCCCAGCTCTGCTCGGCTCTGCAGTCCTAGTATCGGCAGCCATAATTTCACGGCAACCATTCTGGCAATCATCAGGTGATCGTCTTGACCAAGTACTAAGTCGTGGTTGCTACTGTAACTCGCTACTTCACAAGCACACGGATGCTAGTATCTTTGGCGGCTCCCGTTAAGCTACTTAGTAGGTTGCTGAAGTACTCGAGGCATGTAGCGCGATTACTAATCGAAGTATGTGAATCAAACTAGTATGACATGCGCCTGCCAGGCTTATTACTAATCGGAAAGAGGTCGGGGTACTACCAGGATGCTGCTGGGCACTGGCCACTAGCTAGTGGCATGTGTCATTCATGCAAAGTCATGCGGCCCTAATTGCCCCATTTCCAAATGGCAGTGATTAAGGCAAGATATCGGTACCATCATGTTCACCATTCGCCACGAAAAGGCGAATTCTCACATCACTGTCTTGTTCGATCTACATCAAATTTCTTTCTTCTTCAGAAAAAATGGCCCCCGTTAGTCGCGGGATTGATAGCCCAGTAATCAACTGGGGGCATATGCTTTAGGGAACTTGATTCTCCATCTCTCCTTGACAGCAACACTCCACGACTAAATGTTTGTGTCGAGCCGGCAGGTATTCTTGTATTCACATCAGTGTGACAAAATTTTCAATGTAACATCATCAAGCCCGGGCGCCATTCTTCCCAACAATGATGCACTGTAAAGGACCGAAGGTGGACTCGTCATGCGCGAGCTTCACAATGTAAAGCAAGCACTATTGGTCCATGAATAAACTGAGGGTAACAGCGCATCCTCATGGATGCCGCAGTTCCTCTTACTCACGGCCAAAAACAGGCTACCTGTCCCGCTATGTCGGTTTTTATCCAAGGTGCACACAACCAGTCGATTTTTTAGTTATTCCTGTCGCCATTTTTTCACGTGAGGGGGCGCGTTCCATACGGTTCAGCCTTCTGAGGATGAGATTAACCATGTGCTTACCTTCCAGTACAGTGTTTTCACGTTGACTAGCACATATATAATGGGCTTTGAAATGTGGTATGATCATTAGCCTCTAGCACCGTTCAATCATGTTCCCAGCTGCATCCCTGTTGACGACTCTCCTCCTGGCCTTGTCCATCGCGGCATCGCCCGTTGAAATTCGCAACTCCCCCATCACCCTCCCCATCGCCAGGAGGCTAAACACCTCCGGTGGTACCATCAACATCCTGCAGCATGATCAATCTCGCGCAGCTGCCCTCAAAAATGTCGGCGAAAACACTCTCAACCGTCGTACTGGTAGCATTGCTGTGACAAACGATGCTGTAGGCTACATCGCAGCTGTTGGCGTTGGCAGCCCCGCCACAACTTGTGGGTTCAACACTGAGAAAACATGCGGCTGCTAATACATTATTGCAGACAACTTGATTGTCGACACCGGTAGCTCGAATACATGGGTTGGCGCCGGCACTGCATACGTAAAGACCAGCACCAGTGTCGACACTGGCGAGCCTGTAGCAGTCACCTACGGTTCCGGCTCCTTCTCTGGTAAGACATACAACGATATCATCAGTTGAAAATACCTACGATTATCTATAGGAACTGAGTACACCGACACTGTCACTCTCGGCAGTGGGCTCACCATCACCAAGCAGTCGATTGGTGTTGCTGCTACTTCGACGGGCTTCTCCGGTGTTGACGGTATCATTGGCATCGGGCCCCTAGACTTGACAGAGGGGACCCTGACAAATGAACCGGACACGACGATCCCGACTGTCACCGACAACCTGTATAGCCAAGGCACCATTGCTGAGATAGTTGTTGGTATCTCTTTCGAGCCCACCACTACGGAGACAGACACCAATGGAGAGCTTACCTTCGGTGGAACTGACGCTACCAAGTACACCGGCGCCATTGCATACACGTAAGTTGCTGCAGCTCGAAGATCAATGATCCTGACTGACAGTAATTGCTTATTTCAGTCCTCTCACCACTACCTACCCTGCATCCTACTACTGGGGTATCAACGAGAGCATTACTTACGGCACCACGACCATCCTGGCTGAGACAGCTGGTATTGTTGACACTGGCACTACCCTCATCCTCATTGCCACCAGTGCGTATCTCAAAAACAGCGAGTGATCTTAATCTGATCAGTGTTCAATAGACGCCTACAGCAAGTACCAGTCTGCAACTGGTGCTACTGAGGACAACACGACTGGTCTTCTCCGCATTACCACCACCCAGTACGATGACCTCGAGGACCTGAACTTCAATGTTGGCAGCGTACGTCCTTTCTGTCTCGAGTCTTGATACCCCTTGTTCACCATTTGCACAGAACACCTACGCTCTCACCCCTAACGCCCAGATTTGGCCTCGTGCCCTTAACACCTACCTTGGTGGTAGCGCCAACTACATCTATCTCGTTGTCAACTCCATTGGCACACCCAGTGGTGAAGGTCTTGACTTCATCAACGGCTACACTTTCCTTGAGCGTTTCTACTCCGTATTCGATACCACCAACTCCCGAGTCGGTTTTGCCACAACCTCATACACGGATGCTACCACCAACTGATCCATTTTTTTTTCGTTGGGTATTGGGTATTTATACGTCATACTATAACGTTTCTCACTTCCTATGGTCCAAGTTGTATTTCTGAAAGAGTCGTAGTTGAACATTCGAATGTTAGTTATTGCTGTTCCACCCCAGCTCTGCTTGCCCTAAATCGTGAGACCACCCACCTTGCGTAGACTGACCAACCCAAGTCTCTAAGCATCTAGATTGAGAAAAGGCTACGACAAGGGGCAAAGGATCTTCTAACAATCAATCTTGCGGACACTGATTGTTGAAGCTCCTCCGTGAGATACATATGTTCATGTCTAGGCCGAGGCAAGAAGCACACCGTCCTTCGCTCGCATCAATTAACATTATCGTGTCCGATGCATTGGACGAGTCCCACGACGAGGGAGAAAAGGTTGATAGCATACTGAAAAATATGATGGAAGATATACAAGTGCACAATCACTAGAAGTAAAGGTGAAGTGGTTGTCCAAATGCTGCAATACTAACTGTGTTAATGAGCATCGACGAGTGGTGGAGATGCACAGCAGAGAAACAGAACGATTTGAGCCCGCCATGGAATGGGTGGCGACTGAGCGGCTGCTGCACCTGCTGTGGTAGTACCTGGAGCAGGAGGTGTCGCGGATGTTGAAACAGGTTGAGTGTGAGATGACGACGCCTGGACTTGGCCGTGCGATTGGGTTTGTTGCTCGTATGCTCGTTTTGCTTTCTTGAATTTTGGTCCCCGAGCGACAACCAAAGTCTGAACCGAAATCATTAAACCACAGCGATTGTACATGCACCAAGAAGAGCCGTACCTGCCTGTCTCGCACTGCAGCCACTTCGACAACGCGAGGATAACTTGGGCGTTCCAGAAGTTCAATTTTTTCGTTGGTGTGGGGTTGAGAGCAGAAGAGTGAGGACAGCTGGCTGGTGAGTGCACCTGGACGTGAACTCGAAGGCACTGCGGGATGAGGTTCTGCTTCTTCATCTGTGCCGAGTCGAGACCGGGAGAAAAAGGAGGAAAGTTGAGCTAGTAGTACATCTGGATTTAACCGCAAAGGGGTGGATGGTTGCTGAAGTTCATCACTTCCAGGTCGAGAGTGGTGAATGAGTGATGACAGGCGAGCGAGGAGAGCGTGTAGATGGAACGCCGAAGGCCTTGAGTGTTGCGGAATTTTAGTCATTTCACCACAGTCGGGTCGAAAGCGGCGGAGAAGCGATGAAAGACAAGTGAGGAGTGCATTTACAGACGAATGGGGGTGTACACCACCCATCGGGGAGGACTGGGAACACGGAAGTCTAGATAAGAACGAGGTAATAGAAATACTGATTACGCACATCATCATTGGTTTCCATGTCGTCAAAAAATGTTGATGGGAGTTCATCGACATTGCCAAACTGGCCAGGGTATCTCGTAGCATCAGCCTGGAATGTTACTGTTATGATGAATGAGAAGGATTGCAAACACGGAACGTACTTCCAAAAACGATTTGTCATCGAGTGAAGAGCGGGGTGTGTGCCGTGATCCTGAATCATCTTGAGATGACTTCCGTTCAAGTCTCTCTTTTGGTGCCTTCTGTTCGGGCCTGTCCTTTGATGCCTTCTGCTCGAGTCTGTCTTTTGGTGCCTAACAACAGGCATTGTCAGTGAGAGAGAGCGGGTAATATACCAACAAGTACTCACAATATTGGTTACCTTGGGAAGTAGCTTTTGAAGGCCGGCGTCTTTGAGGATGGTGTGAACGTCCCGCGTGTACACATTTTTGTTGCCGCAAGCAGTTGCTAGCACCTGTCCATCAGGGGAAAGGGTTGCAGACCACAAAACCTCCTCGTGCTGGAGGGCTAGTCCGATTTGGAGATTGGTTTTGAGATTCCATAGACGCGCTGTTGAGTCTAAGGACGCACTTGCAAGGAGGCGGTTGTTGGGAGACAAGGAGATGTTGGTAACCCAATTTGTGTAACCTTCAAGGATGGCAATCTGATTCCAAGTGGCAGTGTTAAATATCCTAATCAGGCCATATGAACCGGCAATCAGTTTCTTCCGATCCGACGTCCATGCCAAGCTGTAAACCATTCCATCGTGTTTGAGTGTTTTGAGAAGCTCGCCTGTCTTGGTATGCCAGATTTTTACAGCGTTCTCCTCAGTCTCCGCCTGTTGCAAGTTTTGATGAATCAGGTGAGTACATCACTGCATACACCCAGTTGTGCCCGGTTTCGATCATCAGGACAGTTTGACCGCTCTTGACATTCCAGATTCTTGCTGTCCCATCCCAGGATCCACTCACTACTCGCTCACCATCTGCACTCCAGCACAATGCGCACACAACATAGGTGTGTCCTGTCCATTTGGCAATGACCTTCTTTGTTTTGACGTCCCACAACCTCACATTGTAATCGCCGCCTCCACTTCCACTTGCAATTGTCTTTCCGTTTGGAGATAATGCCATGGACCGCACTGCGTTATTGTCGTCCCACCAATCCTCGCCTATCTGTGTGCCGCTCTCTAGGTCCCATAGTCGGAGTGAGCCGTCCCAAGAACATGTGACAAAGTTTCGTCCACCGGGCAAGTGCACAACCCCATTCACCCAGTCGGTATGCCCTCGGATCGTCTTTGGCATGGTCCACGCTCGGAGTCTCAACTACGCTAGATCGTGGCCTGTGTATATGAGATAAGTCTACTGGGATTTTGGAATCAGACCAGGTTGTCTGGCAACGGTAATGGTTGCTGGCTGGTAAGTCCAGGGGTCTATCTTCCGTCAATTTTGGATGTTTATAAAAACAATACAAGCCATTACTCACGCGACAGTCTATTTACAGGATCAAATATCCAACCCTCAATCAACCCTCATCCACAAGACAGCTTTTGGAGGACGTATTCAGGTGCTGCTAAATCCGATAGGGCACAATTGATCTTTGCGGATATCTGAAGTTGCTGGTAAGCAAGTCATCAGCTTTAACCCGCAAAAGAGCTTGGAGTATCACTCACGGGAAGCACCTTTCAGACGAGCCCAGTGCGCAATCACCAGAGATCAACGGGTGTTTGGTTGGGACTTGACCAAGTTGGGTGGTCGTTTGTCATGCCGCTTTTAAGGTCCGTCCCATGCATTGTCCTTATGTTTCTTTCACAGCTTCATTGCTATGTAGACGTAGCTTCCGTGGCTATGTATATTTTCCTATACGTAATGACATCCGACGGCCGTCCTGCGCTCCCTCTCTACTCTCCACATTTCTTCCTGCCCATGTTTGAACTCCGTACACCGGACGTTCTGATTTCAACAAGGTCATTTTGACTGGGCATGAAAAGGTATGGCAAGCTGATAGGTGGGCGATCACGGGTGGTCGTCCGAATGCCTATATGTATCCATGGATGCAATACCTCTACCATGGCTGTGTGCTTATCGACATCCGGTACCGACTCCGGGAACCTTCTCGGCTCCGCTGCGTAATCGATATTAAAAACGGCCTAGGATAATGACGAGACACTCGACCGTCTTCTGTTCGTCCCTCACTCAGAAAGCAACCTCGCTTTTTGGCACATGATTACAATGCCCTCGGTGCAGGTCATGATCAGTGACCAGTCAGGTGCCAGATTTCCCCCAACATGCGTTCAAGCCCTGATCAACTTTCCGTGACATTAAAGCAGGATCGAGCACGTTCCATGGACATTAGGTATTCTCTCGCTGTGCTTCTTCCGTCTATAACTTCCAACTGATCTCCCGTATGTAATTAATATCGTTGCACAGCTCACATATCACATGAGCCTCCTCAAAGAACTGATCGATGTCTCAGAAATGCACCGAAGTATACTGACCCTGCACCATCAATGTCAGATAGAACGATCGACTCGGGCTGTAGTGTCAGGGTTGATGTCCACAAAAAACACTTTAGACTAGCCTCTTTTGAACATGAACCTACACTTACGGTTGACGCTGTCAAGGTAAGGCTCCTGAGATGTATTGCGGATAGGGTATGCACTTAGCCCACACTATCAATGTCGATCAACTTGGACTCGGAAAATGATTGGTAACCGCACTCGTGAGCAGTAACCCAAGGTCAGTCACAAAGCGACCCTTCCAGAAGGTGTACATCGCACACAGAGAGAAACGCGTAGTGGATAGAGCAAGATGAGTGAGGGAGACATGTTCAGGAGGATGAAGACATCTAGATAAGTTGCTGATTTGTAGACGCCTGGGGTGACTACCGGTTTGTCTACATCAATCAGTGTGAAATGAAAACGCGTCAGAGCTAGCTACCTTGAGAGTTTTAGACAACGCTGAATATTTGAAGCAGTAAGCGACGAGAAAAACAAGTGCCTGCCCTCAGAATGCATCTAAAGACTCGTTCAGACTTACGAGGCGGCGCCCAACAGGTCATCGATCACGAGGTCGGGTATAACAAGCAATCTGTTTCACGGTCATGATGTTGTTCTCTGATGTCTGGGGTCGTTGTAGAAGACTCCTGATTAATTTATGTGAAAAAGGAGGAAAGAGATGAAGGGGAGTAAGCGAGGTACACCATCCTTCGCCCACAACAATTACCATTATCATGTTCGATACATTGGACGAGTCTCGCATTGAGGAAAAACAGATTGATGGTGTACGAAAGACACAATGAAAGAGATACAAGTGCAGAATAACTGGAAATAAAGGTGATGTAGTTGTCCAAATGCTGCAACGCTAACTGTATTAATGACCATTGGCGTGTGGTGGGGATGCACAGCAGATAAACAGGACGATCTGAGCCCACCATTGGATGTGTAGTGACTGTGAGGTTGCTGCATCTGCTGTGGTAGTACTAGTACCTGGAGCAGGAGGTGTTGTGGATGTTGAAGCATCGGCATGCTGAACGTGCGATAACGACGCCTGGGTTCGACCGTGCGATTGGGTTTGTTGCTCATATGCTCGTTTTGCTTTCTCGAATTTTGGCCCCCGAGCAACAACCAAAGTCTGAACAAAAATAATTAAACCAGGACGATTGTAAAGGCACCGAAGAGAGACATGCCTGCTTGTCCCGCACTGCAGCTACTTCAACGACATGAGGATGACTTGAGAGTTGTGGGAATTCGGTTTTGCCGTTGGTATGGGGTTTAAACCGGAAGAGCGAGGGCAGCCGGCTGATGAGTGCATCTGGACGTGAACCCGAAGGCATTGTGGGATGGGGTTCGGCTTCTTCGTCTGTGCCGAGTCGAGATCGGGGGAAAAGTGAGGAAAGGCGAGCTAGGAGTACATGCGGATCTAACCGCAAAGGCGTGCAGGGTTGCTGAAGTTCGTCTGGTGCATCATTTTCAGGTGGAGAGCGGTGAATGAGCGAGGACAGGCGAGCAAGGAGTGCGTGTGGATAGAACGCTGAAAGCTTTAAGGGTTGCGGAAGTTCGGCCGTTTCACCATTGTCGGGTCGAAAGCGGCAGAGAAGCGAAGAAAGACGACCGAGGAGTGCATTTGCAGACAAATGGGGGTGTACACCACCCATCGGGGAGGACTAGGAACACGGAAGTCTAGATAAGAACGAGGTAATAGAAATACTAATTACGCACATCATCATCGATTTCCATGTCGTCAAAAAATGTTGATGGGAGTTCATCGACATCGCCAAACTGGCCAGGACATCTCGTAGCATCAGCCTGGAATGTTACTGTTATGATGAATGAGAAGGATTGCAAACACGGAACGTACTTCCAAAAATGACTTGTCATCAAGCGAAGAGCGGGGTGTGTGATGTATTCCTGAATCATCTTTCTGTTCGAGTCTCTCTTTTGGTACCTAAGGCATTGTCAATGAGAGAGAGCGGGTGATATGTTGATACTCACAACATCGGTACCGGAAAGTAGGTCTTCAAGGCCAGCTTCTTTAAGAATGGCGCGAACGTCCCATGTGTATGTGTTCTGGTTTTTGCAAGCAGTGACTAAGACCTTTCCATCAGCGGCAAGGGCTGTGGAGAGCAAATCATGTTCATGCTTGAGGGGTGGTCCGACTGGGAGGTTGGTGTCGAGACTCCATAGACGCGCTGTTCTATCAATTGATGCACTCGCAAGGAGGAGGTTGTTCCAAGACAGGGAGATGGCGGTGATGTCGTTGACAGTACTATGACCTTCAAGGATAGCGATCTGCTGCCAAGTGGCAGTGTCGAATATCCTAATCGGGCCACGCGAAGCGGAGATAAGTTTCTTCTGGTCCGACGTCCATGCCAAGCTGCAAACTGGATCATTGTGTCTGAGTGTGTTGAGAAGCTCGCCAGTGTTCGCATCCCAGATTTTCACAGCATACTCTCTGTTTCCGCCTGTTGCAAGTTTTGATGAATCAGGCGAGTACTCCACTGCATACACCCACTCATTCCCAGTTTTGATTGGAAGGACGGATTTACCCCTCTTGACATCCCAGACTCTTACCATCCCATCCCAGGATCCGCTCGCTACTCGCTCACCATTTGCACTCCAGCACAATGCACGCACAACTCTGGTGTGTCCTGTCCATTTAGCAATGACCTTCCTCGTCTCGATGTTCCACAACCTCACTTTCCCGTCATCGTCTCCACTTGCAATTGTCTTGCCGTTTGGAGACAATGCCATGGATCGCAGTCCTATGTTATTCTCATCTCTCCAGTCCTCGCCTATCTGTATACCGCTCTCTAGGTTCCATAGTCGCAGTGAGCCGTCCCATGAACATGTGACGATGTGTCGTCCGTCAGGCAAGTACACACTACCGTTTACCCAGTCGGTATGCCCTCGCATCGTATGGCGTGGCGTGATCTCTGGCGTTTTGCTGGTGGAGGAAGACATGGTCCGCGCTTGGAGTCTTAACTAGTGCGGCAAGTCGTGGGCTGTATATACGAGAGACGTCTGTAGGGATCTTGGAATCAGACCAGGTTGTCCGACAATAGCGATGATTGTTGGTGGGTCCAGGGGCCTATCTCCTTTCAATTTGATGCTTGTAATTAAGAATCACAGAAGCATCGCTCATGAGATAGTCTACTTACGGGATTCAATCTTCACCCACAAGACAGCTTTTGGACAACGTGTTCTGGTGTTGCTAAATTCGATAATACACAACAGATCTTTGTGGGTATCTGAAACAAGTCGTTAGCTTTAATCGGCAGGAGAGCCTAGAGTATTATTCATGGGAAGCACCTGTGAGACGAGCCCAGTGTGCAATCACCAGAAATCAACAGGTGCCTAGTTGGGAATGAAGGAAGGCAGGCAATCATTTGTTCATGCCGTTTTAAGGTGCATCCCATGTGTTATCCTTCACAGCTTTATTGCTGTGTAGACAAAGCGCCTGGGGCTATGTGCGTCTTCCTATATGTAATGACTGCCTTGATCCTTCTGACAAGCATTCAACAACACTCCCCCTCTACTCTGGACATTCCTTCTGACTTATGTTTGAACTTCAGCATGCACTGGACATTACAATGTCATTTTGACTGGGTATGAGAAGGTATTGCAAGCTGATAGGTGAGTGATCGTGCATGTCAAAGGTGGCTGTCCGAATGGTTATCTATATCCAGGGATGCAATACCTCTACCATGGCTAGGTGCTCATTGACATCTGGTATTGAATCCAGGAAACTTCTCGGCTACACTGCATACTTGATGTTGAAAATAACCTAGAATGGTGGCAAGACAGTTGACCTTCTGTTTGTCCCTCACTCTGAAAGCAACTTTACATGATTACAGTGCCCTTGACTATTTTTTCAATCACCATGTACAGGTCAATGACTGGTCTGGTACCAGACTTCCTCCGACATGTGCCCTTATTGACTTCCTGTGACATTAAAGCAGGACTGAGCATGCTCCATTGACTTCAGGGATTCCCTCATTGTGCTCCTTTGTCTGCTTATAACTTCCTACTGAACTCCCATATGCATTGTTACACAGCCCACATGGTGCATAAGCTCAATGGCACATCTCGATTCAGTCAGCAATAGATAACTTTCACCACTGTGATATCAATGGAGGATCATTATTGTGTAATGCCAGTGCATCCTTCAAAACACATCATATTTTGGAACCATTGTTTTTTGGACCATTTTCATGAGATCATGTTTTTATAGAACACAACAGATGGAAAGGGTCAGTGATGCAATGATGTTCCCTCTGTGTTCTTCTGTATTTGGGAGTACTTGAGGTGTCTATGGCTGTTGTGTGGTTACTCAATTGGCACACCCCATGTATCATTGGAGAGAGATTTCACACTCTATCTGTGAGCCAGTATCACTGACATTTAATCACCATTGCTGGTTCACCAACATGGTGCAGAGACTGAGAAGTTTGATCGCCCTTTTCCTGACAGGTGATGAGTTGTGCTGACATCACAACGCATGCTTTTGTTACTCTGTGATCCTGGTAGGACAATTGGATAAGAGTAGTAATTATCCCTTCTTCCATGTGCCTTTTGATTGTGCATCTGCTTTCCATCTGTATGTATGCTGTGCAGGAGTGCCCCACCAAAGCTTATGCTTATTGTGTTATGAACTCGGATAGAGCATCGTTCCAATAAAGGAATCAAGGATCAAGGTCAATCAAGGACTGAGCCTTATCAAGTCAGTGCCTCCCTCAGGAGTGATCGTCTAGACTCCTGCAGGATCTAGAGTTCAATTGGGACAATGGCTAGCCTCCTTCCCAAGGAGCTAGAGTTTAAGTATTGAAGAGAACCAAGTAGATTCAAGTTAGAGAAAATACAAGTGGTAACTAGAGTTTATATATGTAAGGGAATCGTGCACAGACCAAGCTGGGCAAAGGGTAACTAATACTAGAAATGGAAGGTTCATGGGAAAACAAGGTATGAGTCAGGGATAAAGGAGACCATGAGGAAATAGCACAGTGAAAAGGAAGCGTTAGAAGTACAGCCATATAGGAGTCCACAGTGATGATGGGAAAAAAGAGTGGGGCACTGTAACATATTGTAGGTATTGGTGCATTTGCAATTTTGAATATCCTGATATCCACTCAATATGTATGTTATCAATTACTTGTATGAATAGAAAATTGATTAGTGGTTCTCAGTCCAGGTCATTTGAGTCAAAGCCAAATCTGAGTCACAACTTACTGAATACCTGAAGGAGTAGTATTAGTCAAGCTGAAGACAGTTATCCTTCTCAGGCTGGGCATCACTGCCACCAGTGGTCTCCCTGTCCTGTCTCCCTGTCATGTATTAACCTGTATTTGTGGCACAGAATTGACTATTGTACTACAACCATTCTGTTTCACAGTCCTGATGCCATTCTCTGAAGACTAAGGTCACTGTAAAATATTCCTGTTTAATCCACATCAGGAAAACCTAGGTGTGCTTATTTTGACTTAAATCATCCTTAAAGTGACTTATTTGTCTTTTGTGTGACTTTAACTTGAAATTTTGGTCACTCAAAATAAGGAAATTCAGTAGGTTATTTTCCTTAAAATAAGACCAGTGGTGTGTTTAAGACATGTAAGGAGACAAAAAGAATGCCATTAAGGAGTGTGCAAATCAGACCAGGAGCTTTAAATAAGGCAAAATAAGGAGGTTCGAAATTTTAAGGAAGGTGATTATAGCGTCCAAATAATAGAGCAGATAAGGAGGTTCGAAAATTTAAGGAAGGTGGTTTTAGCATCCAAATGATAGAGGGGGCTCAGGAAAAGGGTATAGTATGCATGCAGTGGAGCCACTAGTCGAAAGAGCAGGAAATGAGGGGGAATGATGATATCGTGGTAGTATCTGTCAATAGGTTAGTAGTACACCAATTGGGGTGATTCTGAGAGGTACTTACTCCAAAAAAAATGATGTGTCATCCTCCTGTTTAATTGAATAAAATTAGTGGCTGAAAAAAGAGGAAATAGATACACATTACAGATACAAAGGCAGGAGCATTTGTTGACTGGGGTGGTGGAATCATCATCTGCTGAACTGCGATGATTGAAATGAGGGTGCTTCATATAGTTTTCCAACTGCTCAAGAATCTCTTGGATGCGTTCATGGGGTAGAGCCTTGATACTGTCCATGTATGCCATGGTGTCCATCTCCCAGTTTCCAGATGAAAATGCTGTCCTGGTATGGCTCATCTTATTAGTCACTTCAAGTTTGTTAAGTGTCTGTACGATCTTGTGAGTTTTACCACCATTGTCAGTGGGGTTGCTATCAATCAACAACTGATCTTTGACTAAGATGAGAGCATGCTCAGCCTATGAAATATAGTTAACATTCTCCAACAAAGAGATAAAAAAAACTTACTGCCACAGCTGTCAGTGCCAGTGTGGTCTGATACCCAGGCTTGCAAAATTCAACCAACAAATCCACCCTTACTTTCCTGGCAACTGCGATGAGGTGTGCAGCAAAAATGTGTAGTATATGTTCTGACAAGAAGATGCCGGGTTGCTCTTCATTGTCAGGATCTTCATAGATGAAACAGCATTCCTGGAGTTGATACTTGGCATATTCCTCATGGGCTTCCTGGGTCTCATACTTGGGCATTGAAGTGAAAAAAGCCATCAAAACAGTGACAGCCATTGAACCAAATGAAGCTTGCCATTTGTGGATCCTTCAGCTTACCTGGTAGAAGTGAATCAGTAGCCATTATGAGTCAAAAACTGAATGCAAACCAGTTGAAAAGACAAGTCTTCAACCTCAAAACTACACCCTCCTTTGCTATGTGGGTACACTGCATAAAATATCGACTCCAGAACAGACTCAAGCTCAGTCTCTGGTATGGTCCATCCATAGTTGCTGTTACCAACCCAATACATCAGACAGGGAAGGAACTTCATGTGCCATATTCTGTTTTTGAGGACTCCACTGGGTAGGTGTGCATTTCTCGCCTTGCCTTTCTTGAGCTTTGCATGAATATTTGCTGACACAACAGCCTCAGGCTCAGTCTTGACCTCTGTCTTGATCCTAGTAGTAAGGCCTTTAGCCTGCTTTGTTGTGGGTTTCTTCTCCAAGATATCAACTGACATCTATCTGAGTATCAGTTCTTTCCCATCAACATTGACCAATGACTTACAGAGCTTGTGTGTTGTGCCATACTAGCCTTATTCACCACCATCATGGAATCACTTTTGTCATCTTCATGTTCAGCCTCCCCATCCTCAAGCATCTTGTAGTTTGAATCATTGGCAGCATTTAGGTCTTTGAGGTTCTCTGGTTTTTCATCAGCCTCTGGATCCTCTAGAATCTTGAGTTCTTCTGCAGTGTCTGGGTCCTTGAGTTCTTCTGTGGACAACTCTATTTCATCTGGGACTGGGAGTGAGTGCTTCTTGCCTCTCAAGGTGACTTTTGGTTTCTCATTCAGATGCACAATGTTCTAACTTAGGTAAGTACGTGTACACAACACAAATGGCCACTGACCTTTTCCCTCTGTGCTTTTGGTGCTGGCCCACTGTATTCTTCAGGTTTTTCATCAGGATCCACATTGGACTTGGTGGGTTGTGCTGTCCTGCCAGAGACTCACACGCTTGGTGGTGCACTTGGTTTCAGCTGAGCTTGTGATGCAGCTTTCTCTGCCCAGTCAGGAATGGGCCCTGCGAGGTCAGAACTGATCACCTGCTCAAGATTGGTGTTGATATGGTATGCACAGATATAATCAAAGTAATACAGAGTGAGTTCTGATAGAATCAGCATAATAGCTAAAAGTGACTTGTGACTTTTTAATTTTCCCATCGCCAATCATTGTTGTGCTCCCAACACATGTGTCACTGTCACTGGTACAGACTGTGACTCCACCATTGGATACCTTGCGATTAGCATTCACACTGTCTCAAAAACTCAACTTCAATGCAGCATGTTTCTTTTTTACTGGCTGACTAATCTCATCATCTCCAGCTGTGGTTGTTTGAGTGGCTATGCAGGGGTCAAAGTCATCAGATCAGGTAAGTAATTCAAGCACTGAAATGATTGGAACTTGCCTGCAACTGCAGGTTGCTCAACTGCTTTCTCCAGATTTATGCTCTTTTTGTTGATGACCATGTGTGGCCTGATGAGCTTTGGAGGGCCCTTCACTTGAGTCTTCTGCTGGATGGCCATGGCATCTTTAGCTGCTGCAATCATTGTACATGATTTTTCCACTGCTGCAGCATGATTAGCCTTCTCAAGTTCTTTCCAGTTCTTCTTGGCAGCAACTTCTTCTTTAGACTGGCACTGGACTCAGTTTGCCTCCCAGGCAATGTTCCCTGGGTGCTTGTTGACATTTCCAGGATGCATTTGTGGACGAGGCATGAGGATACCAGAGACGAAAAGAGAGAGATGCTAAAATGAATGATGAAGGACTTAGAAAAAAAGCAATGAGCTAACATGTTCAATAGTTCAGGGTGAGCCTTGGTTGGTTTTTCATCAACTCAATCTGACCCAAAATGAATAAGCTCACACAGTGCCATTACTTTGAGTTGCCTGACATTGCTTCAAACAATTTTGTTCATCATCTCCAGTGAAAATGACCTTACTGAGTTGTCGCATTCCTGGATGCAAAAAAACCTTCAGAAATAAGTCAGGCCAAACAAAGCATGTACACTCAGCACACCCCATGCCTTTGCGCAATTGTCCAAACTTCCATCAAACAGCTCCTGTGTCTCGCTCTCCAAGTCCTAACAATCCTGCCTTTGACAATCAACAGGACTTTGGTGATGCACGTCTCCTGGAAGGTACCAATGAAACATTCATGCCACAACAGGGTGTACAGTTGGGGCCTCTATTCTGGACATTCCACCCACATCTCACAGGTAACAAAATTGTGCAATTCATTTATTTAAATCTAACTGTTAGCATACTAGGATGCAAGTGTGATGCCCATGGCAACTTCATCAACCAGGATGCCCTCCCACCACTCCAAACTGAAGCATTACCCACCAACTGGACCCCATATGAAACTCGGGTCGCATTTGAGACAGCGGAATTCCTCTACACATGTAACCAAATGTCTGCAGGGCAGATTGACACCCTTCTTGACCTCTGGGCAGCCACACTTATCAAACACAATGACAGTCCTCCATTCACTGGCCACCACAACTTATATGAAACTATTGATTCAACTCCTCTTGGTGCTTTTTCCTGGTAGACTTTCTCAATGTCCTATAGTGGAACCAGACCAGCTGAGGATGTTCTGCCATGGATGACTGCTGAGTATGATGTGTGGTTCCATGATCCATGTCTACTGATTCACAATATACTTTCAAAACCCTGACTTTGCCACTGAGATTGAATATGTCCTGTATCAGGACTATATGGATGATAATAAATGCTGTTACAAGAATTTTCTCTCTGGTGATTGGGCTTGGAAGCAAGCAGTATGTTATACTTCATGCCTTGAACCTACTGTTCCTTGAACTAATAGTATGTTGCTATACAGAATATTATCATGCAGGATCCGGAAACTCACAGATCAACGTTTGTGCCCTTGATCATTGACAGTGACAAGACTACAGTCTCAGTTGCCACAGGACACACTGAATACCATCTGCTCTATCTATTGATTGGGAACATTTTCAATGGAGTTTGGTGTGTGCATCGCAATGGTGTGGTATTGGTGGGCTTTTTGGCCATTCCAAAAAGTGAGTCAGCCCCTTAATGCACTGTTTTAATTAATCCTTCTCACTACTCACACTATAGGCACAAAGGAACATTTAGATGATAAAGACTTTTGCAATCTCTGCCGTCAAATGTTTCACTCCTCACTTGCCAAGATTTTTGAGCCTGTGAAGTTGAATATGATGGTTCCCGATGTTGTACACTGTCCTGATAGCCATTATCGGCATGTTATCTACAGGTTAGGCCCATACATCACCAATTATCCTGAGCAGGTGGCTCTTTCTGGAGTAGTCCAAAACTGGTGTCCAAAGTATGTCTCTTTCACTATGAATTTATTGACTTGTGCCTCATGCTGCTTCAGATGTTTGAATAACTGCAAAAATCTCGATGGTGATAGTCTACCTTCTACCTTTACTCTGGTGCAGACAGCACACTGACCTCCTGGTTCAGGAGCTCCCACACGTCCACCTTTGGCATGAGTATGGAATCATCCAAGAGGTTGTGGTATGTCATTCGGTTCTCATTTGCATTAACTTCTCAATTTTTTTCAGCCTTTCATGAATGATTTCCCTCGAGCAGATATCCACAAACTTCTCTCTCCAGACATCCTGCATCAAATCATCAAAGGCACATTCAAAGATCACCTTGTCAACTGGGTAGAACAATACTTGTTGCTCATGCACTGGGCTTCACATGCAGCAGAAATCATGGACAACATTGATTGAAGGTACAGTTCTTCTATTAATAAATCCCTATCTATGCATTAGACTCAAAGTGTTCTAACAGGATAGTGGCAGTAGCTCCTTTTGCAGGTCTATGGCACTTTCCAGAAGGGTGTGGATTCAAGCAGTGGACTGGTGATGGTTCCAAGGCTCTGATGAAGGTATGTCACAATGAAAGTTCATTATGATTTGCCAATTCACATTACAACTATCTAGGTATATCTGCCCGCCATCAGTGGTCATGTCCCTCAGGATGTAGTTCGCGCATTCAGTGCATTCCTCAACTTCTGCTACATAGTCCAATGAGACACCCTTATGGAGGATGATCTCACCCAGCTTCAAGATGCACTTAGTTGCTTTCACCAGTACCATGAAATATTCAAGACCACAGGAGTTGTACACAACTTCTCATATCCATGCCAACACTCCCTCAAACACTACTCCCTCATGATACGGCTCTATGGTGCCCCAAACGGCCTTTGTTTGTCAATCACAGAGTCCAAGCATATCAAGGCAGTTAAAGAGCCCTGGCACTGCTCCAACAGATACAAAGCATTAGGCCAGATGCTTCTCACCAACCAACATCTCAACAAAATAGCTTCAGCCTGTAGTGATTTTGAAGCTCATGGCATGCTTTGAGGGTCGTGCATGTCTAATGCATTGCAGGCACTTAGAGAGAGTGAGTGTATGCTCAAATACATACTTTTTCAAGTGTTCTAACTAATACTATGCAGGTAATGGTGAGTTGCAGGACAACAGTGAAGATGAAGACGATGAAGATGCTGATGACACGCCTCAAGCATGTCCTGGCCATTTACGCCTCAATGAACCACAGAATCAGACTGCCAAGGGAGACATGGTGGATATTGTTGATGGACCTACTGTCCAAGCTCATGTAGAACTTGCGGTGGCACCTGGTAAGTCTTCGTCTTTAGGTCACACAAACTGTTTGCTAAAACTTCCTAGTGCTGGGTTATTCACCCAATGTCACTGCTTATGCTCAATCTCAACCTTCCGACCCTCCCCACAATGATCCAACAATTCCTTCACAACCAGCTTCATACTGGCGATGATGAGCCACCTGAATTTGACCCTGCCATGGCACCTTCTTACATGGGCAGGGTCTCTGTCTTTAGTTCAGCAGCAGCATCATTCTATGCCCCCAGTGACCTCAGTGGCACTGGAGGCATGTGATGCAAGCATATTCAGGCAATGCCATTATGGTGAGGGGGTCCTGCTATGAATGACTGTGTCTTTGTCAGTATGAATGATGAAGTCAATTGTGACTTGGATGGGCTTGCTGTTGCAAGAGTATTGTGTTTTCTCAGCTTCAAGTATCAGATGAAATACTTGCAATGCACAGTCATTCACTAGTTTTCATACGTCACAGACAGCCAAGATCCTGACACTGGGATGTACCTTGTTGCATAATCAACTAACGATGATGGGACACCAGATGTCTCAATCATCCATATTGATTGTATATTCCATGCAGCTCATCTTATTCCCCTCTATGGTTCCAATTTCTTACCTTGCACAATCACTCTTCACAACAGCTACAACATATTTCATGCCTTCTATGTCAACAAGTATGCAGATCACCATGCATTTGAGGTAGCATGACACACAGGTTTGTCATCATCTTCTGTCCCCCCCTCATGGTTTGATCATTTCACAGGACTACCTATACCCTGCAGCATTATTATCTAAGTAGTGGGACATGCAGGTTCATCATTTTCTGTCCTGCCCTCATAATAAATGATTTACCAGGACTATCTACACCCTCACATACCTGGTTATGTGCCCACTTCATCATGCATCCCCCCAACACCAAATCCCTTCTTCAACCCAGTTATGCACCTGTTTCATCATGCACCTCCCAGACACTGCATCCCCCAAACACCAAATCACCAAGCCAAAGATACCATTCCTCAAGTATTATTATTACAAGACTATGTACACCCTTGCATACCTGGTTATGTGCCCACTTCATTATGCAACCCCCAAATGCCAAGTTCCTTCTTCCACCCAGTTATGCACTCACACCTCCCAGACTCTGCATCCCCCAAACACCAAATTGCCAAGATGAGGGCACTATTGACTTGACAATTCTCAGTAAGCCCACAGTTTTTTAATTATAAAATATCCTAGCACTCACTATGGCCAGCAGTCATGCTGCACTCGAACAATGCATTCGGTTTTGATTCCAGTGCCCCAACCATCCCTTCACTCTCTTCCATAACCCCAGTGGGGCCTCCACCTCTTCCACATTCACCTCTGCCAATGCTCAAGCCACCACCTCTGTCCATCAGCACTTCCACTCCTGCCCATATTCTACCTTCATCAATCTTGGTATTGAGGCTACCATCTATCATGTGATTGTCTGCAAAGGTTCAAGCATCGATCAACAAACAATGCAATGTGCTGGAGAACATACCAAATACTCTTGCAATATTGGTGCAGATGGGTTCGAGATCTAGCAGTAGTTTGAGTGTAGTTGGATCAGTGAGTTGCTTGCAACACTTTGAATATTGTTGCTTTTTGGCACCTGTGTATCATGTGCTAATGTTTTTGACTCCGACTCGTCAAAACATTCCAGCTCTCTTACTTTGCTTGTAAATAAATTTTGCTTATGTCTCCTTACTCGTCCTTACATTCATTGTGTTCCTTAGTTCAGAGAGTGATAGATTTTATTAAGTCCCTTAAGCTCCTTTACCGCCTTATGTTGTACACTAAGTCAAAAAAGGCACAAAAAGCCCACCTATGTTTTCCTGATGCAGGTCTTTATGCAAAAAAAATAGGGGAAAAAAGACAGGAAACCAAGAAGCACACCGTCCTGAGCTCACAATAATTGGCATTGTTGTGTCCAATGCATTGGATGAGTCTCATGACAAGGGGAAAAATATTAACAGTGTCTCAAAAGACATGATGAAAGAGATGCAGAATCACTAGAAGTCAAGGTGAAGTAGTTGTCTGGATGCTGCAATACTAACTATATTAATGATCACTGGCATGTGGAGATGCACAGCAGAGAAATAGCACAATATGAGTCCACCATGGAATGGGTGCATTAGCAAAACCCTGATTTGGGTACAGTGCCACAGCCACACAGCATGTTACAGGTCACATAGATTTTGTTGTAAAGGCTCTGCAGCACCACACAAGTATTTATTCTATGTAAAAATGAGTGTAATGTAGTCACAAACATGTATATAACAAGATGGTGTGCTAATAATTATGTTTTATTGAGAAATTGTGTAGTGTGCAGCACTGTACAGCACTATACATGGGGGGACCTCACTGTGACACTGTGATTGCTGTGCAGTGTTGTGCAGTGCTGCACATAGGGTTAGGGTTTTGCTGATGTGGCAATTGTGTGTTTATTGCACCCACTATGGCATTGCCTGGAGCAGAAGGCGCCATGGATGTTGAAGCAGGTTGAGTGTGCAATGATGACACCTGGGTTTTGCTGTGTGACTGGGCTTGTTTCTCATGTGTTCATTTTGCTTCCTTGAATTTTGGCCCATGAGCAACAACCAAAGTCTGGATAGAAATTATTAAACCATGGTGATTGTAAACACACCAGGGGGAGTCATACCTGCCTGTCCTGCACTGCAGCCACTTCAACAACACAAGGATGACTTGAGCATTGCAGGAGTTTAATTTCTTCATTAGTGTGGGTTTGGGAGCAGAAGAGTGAGGACAGTTGGCTGATGAGTGCATCAAGATGTTCACTCAAAGGTGTTATGGGTTTGGCATCTTCATCTGTGCCGAGTTGAAATTGAGGGAAAAGTGAGGAAAGATGAGCTAGGATCACATGAGGATCTAACCACAAAGGCATAGAGGGTCACTGAAGTCTGTCTGGTGCACCATTTTCAGGTGGAGAGCAGTGAATGAGTGAGGACAGGTGAGCCAGGAGTACATGAGGATGTAACACAGAAGGCCTTGATGATTGAGGGAGTTTGGTCACATCACCATTGTCAGGTCAAAAGCAGTGGAAAAGCAAGAAAAGACAAGCAAGGAGTACATTTGCAGAGGAATGGGGGTGTACACCACCTATTGAAGAAGACTGAGAGCACAGAGCTCTAGATAAGGACCGACTAATAGAAATACTGATTACACACATCAATATCGAGCTCCATATTGTCAAAAAAATTTGGTATGAGTACATCAAGACCCCCAAACTGGCCAGAATATCTTGTAGCATCAGCCTGGAATGTTGCTGTCATGATGAATGAGAAGGATTGTAAAAATGAAACATACTTCCAAAAATGACCTGTCATCAAGTGAAGAGCAAGGTGTGTGCTGTATTCCTGAACCATCCTGAGATGCCTTCTGTTCAAGTTTGTCTTTCAGTGCCTAACAGCAGATATTGTCAATGAGAAAGCAGATGATATGTTGACACCCACAACATTGGTACCAATGGAAAGTAGGTCTTCAAGGCCAGCTTCTTTGAGGATGGTATGAAAAACCCATGTGTATGTGTTTTTATTTTCACAAGCAGCAACTAGGAACTTTCCATCAGGGGAAAGGGCTGTGGACCACAGCTCATCTTCATGCTGGAGGGGTGGTCCAACCAGGAGATTTGTGTTGAGATTCCATAGACGGGCTGTTTTATCATATGATGCACTTGCAAGGAGATGGTCATTCTGAGACAAGGAGATGGCAGTAACCCAATCACCAGCATGACCTTCAAGGATGGCAATCCACTTCCAAGTTGCATTGTTGAATATCCTAATTAGACCATATGAACCAGAGATAAGCTTCCTCCTGTCCAACATCCATGCCAAGCTGAAAACTATGTTTGAGTGTTTTGAGAAGCTTGCCTGTCTTTGCACTCCAGATTTTTACAGCATTCTCCTTCTCTCCACCTGTTGTGAGTTTTGATGAGTCGGGTAAGTACATCACTGCATTCACCCAATCATGCCCAGTTTTGATTTTTAGAACAGTTTTGCCACTCTTGACATCTTGGACTCTTGCTGTCCTGTCCCAGGATCCACTCACTACTTGCTCACCATCTGCACTCCAGCACAATGCACACACAATATAGGTGTGTCCTATCCATTTTAAAATGACCTTCCTCATCTTGATGTCCCACAACCTCACTTGCCCATCACTGTCTCTGCTTGCAATTGTCTTTCCATTTGGAGACAATGCCATCAATTGCAATGTTACAATATTCTTATCTCGCCAGTCCTCACCCATCTGTGCACTGCTCTCTAGGTCCCATAGTCAGAGTGAGCCATCCCATGAACCTGTGATGATGTGTCATCCATCAGGCAAGTGTACAACACCATTAACCTGTCATGCATGACCTCGCATCATCTGGCACAGTCTGATCACTAGTGTCTTGTGGGTGGATGAGGACATAGTTGGCACTCGGATGCTCAACTATGTGTTAAGGTCATACTCAAGGGCTAAACAGATCCTAAGGGCTTCGGCCTCAGCTCATGCACTGTGCCCCTTACCCAAGTATTGCCCCTTATTTCAGAAGGACAAGACTAACATGTCTGGAGGGTCAGACAAGTAGTGTAGCGGATCTGGATAACTTCCAGATGCAGGATCAGTATTGTAAGGCTAATACAGACAAGTCCAGACTAGAAACTAACAGTAGTGGACCATTGTAGACAGAGGTGGATATGGATAGACTATAGGAATCAATTCTAAGTCTTGGAGGGTGACGAGAGTAGATATACTCAAGTCTGGAGGACAGGAATGAGCAGATCTAAGATGATATTCAAACTGAGGTGCTACAGAGACTCACAGGAGGTTATATACTGTAGGTATCTAATGGAATGATTAATCAGCAGGGTCTGAGGCTATGTACAAGGCATGTGGATAGTCTATTGGTAAGTAGGAAAGGATCACTAATAATGAAATGGAAATGAAGCATAGGTAATGGATCAGTGAGCAGGACAGATATACCAATAACTGAAATACTGGAGTCAGGGGGTTACCAAAAGGAGAAGAGCGCTGGTTGTGGATTTGGATGAGTTGTGGACTGGACCAGATGAGTGGACAGATGAGATGTTGGATGGGGATAAGATGTGGATAGGATTGGAGATAAGATGTGGATTGGATCTGAGATCTGGATATATGGATATGACACTATGGTGGATTGTGTAGATGAGAGAAGTCTGCCTGAACTTTGGAATGGACTAGGTTATCTGATAATGGCAATGATTGCTGGTGAGTCCAGGGGCCTATCTCCTTTTTGTTTGACACTTGTAAGAACCATACAAGCCATTACTCATGAGACAGGATTCAATATCCAATCTTCACCCACAGGTCAGCTTTTGGACGAGATATTCAGGTGCTGCTGAATTTGACAATACACAGCAGATCTTGGTGGTATCTGAAGTCGCTGGTAACCAAGTCGTCAGCTTTAACCAGCAGAAGAGCCTAGAGTATTATTCACAGGAAGCACCTTTGAGACAAGCCCAGTGCGCAATCACCAGAGATCAACAGGTGCCTGGTTGAGAGTCAAGGAAGTCAGGAGTCATTCATTCATGCTATTTAAGGTACATCCCATCTGTTATCTTTGTGTTTGCTTCACAGCTTCATTGCTATATAGAATTGCTGTGTAGATGAAGCGCTGGAGGCAAGGAATTTGGATGGGGTGATGGGGGAAACTAAAGATATGGACTCTTCAGAGCTCCTATGGATGTGAGTCAAACTTGACCCAAGGGGATTGCTACTGAGAAAGGATTCCTCTAAAGAATTGAGGGGAAATGCCAAGAACTAGCTCTTGACAGAGGGCTTGGTGGAGTGTGAGAGTATGAAGTGTGACGATAGGCACCAAAGCATGCTAGATGCAACAAATATGTGAAAATGCACGCTCGATATGCGAAATGTGCACTTCATGGCTGGGCTCTAGACCTCAAGATGGGCAATACTGATCTTTTACTTGGATTGGTGAGAGATGATGGAGATGAGGTGATCCTTTTCAGATCACAAGCACAAAAATCAACAAAGGTGGTAGTCAATTCAACTATCTGCTGCTGCTCTGAGGGATACTAGTGGAAGGGAAGCAAGTGATCAAAATTTACCCAGAGGCATGTAATGCCTCATAAGTGCATTCCCAGGCTTTGGAAGTGAATAGGTAGTGGTAAATATTGTAAGTGATGTGACTTAAGTAAAAATAGCGAGGCAATGAGTAATTGCATACCATATGTAACAACTACCTTGATGCTTCTAACAAGCATCCAACAGTGTCCTGCACTCCCCCTCTACTCTGCATGTTTCTTCCAGCCTGTGTTTGAACTCCAGCATATACTGGACATTCCAATCTTGACAATGTCATTTTGACTGGGTGTGAGAAGGTATGGCAAGCTGATGGGTGAGCAATCATGCATATCAATGGTGATCGTCCAAATGCTTCTATATATCCAGGGATGCAATACCTCTACCATGCCTCTACCATGGCTAGGCACTTGTTGACATCTGGTATTGAATCTGGGACACTTCTTGGCTACACTGCATAATCAATTGAACTCAACCTCACAGTGAACCTGATAAATTTTTATCTTGGTCCAATTCAGGACAGTTTGACCACTCCTGACATTCAAGACTCTTGCTGTTCCATCCCAGGATCCACTTGTCACTTGCTGGCAATCTGCAATCAAGCACAATGTGAACACAACATTGCTGTGTCCTGTCTATTTGGAAATGACCTTCCTCGTCTTGATGTCCCATAACCTCACCTTCTCATTGTTATGAACTTGGATGGAGCATTGTTCCAATAAAGGAATCAAGATCAAGGTCAATCAAGGACAAGGCCTTATTGAGTCAATGCCTCCCTCAAGAGCGATTGTCTAGACTCTCACAGGATCTAGAGTTCAAAGAGGACATAGGCTAGCCTCCTTCTCAAGGAGCTAGAGTTCAAGTATCAAAGAGAACCAAGTAGATTCAAGTTAGAGAAAATACAAGCAGTAACTAAGGTTTATATACGTAAAGGAATTGTGCACAGACCAAGCTGGGAAAAGGGTAATAGGTACTAGGAAAGGAAGGTTCATGGGAAAACAAGGTATGAGTCAGATAAGAGGGACCATGAGGACACAGTACAGTGAAAAGGAAGCATCAGAAGTACAGCCATAAGGTGTCCACAGTGATGATGGGAAAAAGAATAGGGTGTTGTAACACCCATCATTGCTTCTGCTTGCAATTGTCTTTCCATCAGGAGACAATTCCATGGATGAAAATCCTATCTTATTCTCATCTCACCAGTTCTTACCTATCTGTGTGCTGCTCTCTAGATCCTATAGTCGGAGTGAGCTGTCCCACGAACCTGTGATAATGTGTTGTCCATCAGGTAAGTGCACAATACTGTTTACCCAGTCAGTGTGACCTTGCATTGTCTGGCATGGTGTGACTGCTAGTGTCTTACTGGTAGATGAAGACATAATTGGCATTTGGACATTCCACTAGCATGGCAGATTGTGGGCTGTGTATATGAGAGAAGTCTGTAGGGATCTTGGATTCAGACCAGGTTATTTGGCAGTGGCAATGATTGTTAGCAGGTCCAGGGGCCTATCTCCCTTCAATTTTGATCCTTGTAAAAACCACACAAGCCATTACTCACGAGGTAGTCTATTTACAGGATTCAACATCCAATCCTCACCTACAGCAATCAGAAGAGGTATTCAGGTGTTGCTAAATTTGATAGATCTTTGAGTATCTGAAGTCACTGGTAAAGAAGTTGTCAGCTCTAATCTGCAGAAGATCTTAGGATATCACTCATGGGAATCACCTTTTAGACGAGCCCAGTGCACAATTTTCAGAGATCAATGGGTGTCAATTTGGGAGTTAAGGGGGCTGGAGTCATTCATTCAGTGGCATTATTGCTGTGTATATGAAGCACTCAGGCCCTTGACCAGCATCATGTGCATTTCCAATGTGTGATGACCCCCATCATGTTCTCTTGTCATTTATCACTCTTTCAGATCTGAATGATAATGATATGATGGATTACTTTGCTGGGGCAATACAGCACACATCTGTTATGAACCCAGAGGACCTGCAGAATGATCTATTAGTTCTCTTGTGGACAGTGTAGAACAAGATCATGCTACCTGCTGCCAATGTTCTTCAGCATGACCTGAAATGAAAGTGCCATTCTGGAATCTGGCTGCATTTAACTGCTGCTTTTGCACATATTCCTCTCCATGCAGCTCACCCCTTTCGAATGAAGGGAGATCACTCTGGGAAGGAACCATGCCTAGAGGATCTCTACATCCATTCTTACATTCCAACAACTTTGGCTGTTCCAAAAGCATTGGGATATAAGAGACATATGATTCCTTCCTTTGTGGCAACCAGACAGGGTCAATCAGGTGCAAAGCAAGGCACTCTTGGCTGTCAACAGCAAGCTTGAGCTTGTCTGGAAGCTTGTCCTGTGTGCTGGCTAACAGTACTACATAGTATCTCTGGTGATGCAGTCACATGAGCAGGTGCATTTGAAGTTTTGTAGTAGAATATCCACACCTTACTTGTCAGGGTAAGTAGGACTGCAAGCAGCCTAATACTTCCCTTTTCATTATGAGATGATCCCCTGACACTACTTTATATCATTGAGAATGACATTCCGCATGCTGAGTTCACATTCTAGTCAGCATGTCATGCTGCCACCAGCAACAAACAAATCCCTGACCAAGTCATCTATCTTGCAGTGGGTCTCTAGTTTTTGGGGTTCAAGAACATCATTAGTATACAAGACGTTATGCAGAGTATCATCACTTATACCAGTTCAAACCAATCACCACTTCCCAGGTCTACAGAGCTAATTTAAATCCAGCATCCCAATCAATCCACAATTCAATTGTGCATATTAGCATCAAACTGACCCAATGTGACAAGATAGCAGCAATCAAATCAAGCCATGGCCCAGCGGTCACTAGCCAGCCATTGAGACTCCTTGTGGAGTCCAACTGCAATATACCAGAGTGCTGATAAGAGGATCTGTCATAATTGACATTAAGCTTGATAAGAAGGAAGACCCAGTCACATCCATCAGTCAGAGCACCATGGAGGACCTTTTTCCTGAGATAATGTAGTAAATTGGAAATGCAAACCTAAAAGCTGGCAGGATATGCTTACTAGAGAAGCTTTTGCACACACACATCTCAGATACTGCCTGAGAAACATGTTTCAAGGGATTGAAAAGCTTGGCTTTTATAATGAAGAAGCTAGATGTCTTGAGGACATAAAGGTCCAGGTATGTCAGAAAGAAAGCTAGAGGAAACAATGAGCTAGGCAATTGAGATGAGTTGAGGCATATTTACCAGTGGTGTGTTGACTTGCTACTATGGTGGTGTAATCTACAAATCCAAAAAGGATTGACAAACTCAACAGGCTGATAGTCATGCTGAAATGTGTTCCATGTTGAGAATCATGCACTTAATTGGTGGTAGCAATGCAGATGCACAGAAGAAGAAGGTGTCAATCCATCATGAGTGCCTGTTTGGTCTGACAAAGTATGAGAGCAGCACAAAGATTAACAGATTGTTAGCATACTGTCCTATGTATGAATGAGACTTTCCAACAAATATGATTAATGATACAGATTCATGGAAGACCAAAGTTCACTCTATCTGAGGGAAGTAGTGATTGCAATGCATTCCTCAGAATTGGGCTTCAGGTGAATAAAGCCAGTAAACATGATTTTCAACTTGGTGAAGTCATCAATAGTCATACTGGAGAAATTAAGAGACTGTAGAGAGTGAGCTAATGGAAAGTTGTTTCGTAACTCAAGTCATACCTTGGACCCCTCTGGCTTCGACCCAAACAGAGAGCATCATGTCGATCTGCCACTCAGAGCCTGCTGGAGTAGGCCCATTTGGGTCTTCCTCTTGCTCAGACTCCTTGTAGAAAAGGTTTTCTTCAGCTTAAGAAGAAAGTTGTAGGCAAGTTGCAATCCCAACCAACTGAGACCAGAAAGTCTGATTGGGAGTTGAGGAAGTTGGGCAATCATTTGTTCACACAGTTAACTGCTGTGCACATATAGACAAAGCGCTCAGGCCCCAACCAGTGCAACATGCATTTTCCCATATGTAAGGACTACCATCAACTTTCAAGTTATTACTTCTAATAAACATTTGACAGCATCTCACACTCCCTCTCCACACTGAATGTTTCTGGCCTATGTTCAGATGTTCAAACTAGTCTACCACCCATTGTGCCTTTGGCTTCCTGGCCTTGACTGTATCCTAATATGTACAGTAAATAAATAAATTTGAATGAGAAAACTGAGGAAGAGGAGAACAGGGGAATGGGCCAAAGGTGTGAGTGCAGCAAGCACTTTTGGCCCATTCCCCTGTTCTCCTCTTCCTCAATTTTCTCATTCAAATTTATTTATTTGCTGACATATTTGCTGCACTCAAACAGACAATGGTATTGAGTTGGCACTCAAAAACATGTGACAAAACCATGCAAGATTTCCAAAAAGAAATTAGCTGAGTTAACTGAATTAACTGAACTAAGTGTTCCATAGTGAAAGCCACATGAGCTGGTGAGATGATTCCCACCTGTCGCATCTTACTTTATAGACTAGCTTCACACCCATTGTGCCTTCATCACAGGAAGCAAACAGAGCACTTTGCACTCCTTTTTGACTTCCTGGCCTTGGCTGCATCCTAGCATGTGCAATAAATAATTGATGAAAATTTGAATGAGAGAACAGGGGAATGGGGGAATGGGCCAAAGGTGTGAGTGGAGCAAGCACTTTTGGCCCATTCCCCCATTCCCCTGTTCTCTCATTCAAATTTTCATCAATTATTTATTGACATGTGCTGCACTCAAATGGGCAACAGTATTAAGTCAGAGCTTGAAAACCCATGACTGGGCCACACGAGATTCCCAAAAAGAGGTTTAAGCAAGTTAAGCATTCTTAAGCAAATCTAAGTGTATCTATGCAAAAGCCACACAAGCTGGCGAGACAATTCCCACCTGTCACATCCTACTTTAAAGATTTATAGATAGAAGATACTGTAGAGATACAACACTAGGTTCATCATGTGCAGCCCATGACAATGTCACACTTAGTGTTACAGGTTCAAATGTCCAGGTGACCTGTGACCTTACCCAAATAGATTCACCTGTGGATTGGATGTGGTGCTTCACCGCTCGCAATGCCATTTGCAACCATTTGACATGCTGCTTCATGATTCAAGCAACTTGCTTCAGTCTGTCGTGGATTTGCCTCACATAGTGCTGAATGGTAACGAGTGGAATTGGAGACTCCATGGTCTTAAAGCCTGCCAGGTGAGTCTACCAGTATGATCCATTTTCAAGCACTCATCATGCCATCACAAACTGATATGTTTGTTGCTTCAGAGTGGCTCTCATGTGGTCATGTTTTTGACCAGAGCAAACTGCCACCTTCTGTTCAATGTGAGATCACACAGTTACTCAGGATCCCAACTTCAATGCAACCAACCATCCCATCTCAGACTCTGCCTGTCGCACAGCTACTTGACATCAATCTTTGCACATCACTGGACTGTGATCTTAGCCCAGACACCATCATTTTCTCAACAAACCCCCCTCTCCTCAGCTTTCCCAATGATTTCACAGCATGGTCAATTCCCCCACTCCATTGCATCACTCAGCTCCTTGATCAGTTCAGTCAGGCTTGGTTTAACGGTCACACTTCAGTCATCCATCCACTTTCCCCAATGTTTCACCTTCCATTCTGGGTTCTTTCATACTGGAGGGACATCTCATGTGCCCTGGAGGCTCATCTCACCTGGATATCAGCCCATGATTGGGTTCTTCAGAGGCTTGAGGATGAAGAGGACACAGGCCATGGTGCTTCCGAGTTAGTAGTTGTAGATGAGGTTCTAGATTCACTTGAGCATTTGCCATGGGATGTTGACTTGAAGGGGTTTGATGCTTAGACCAGTCTTCACACACCAGAGCTTCTCCCTCTACTCACTGACACAATGGTCAATGGTCATGTACTTGATGCTCTTATTGCCACTATCAATGATCATGTGGATGAACACAATGATACTGCTGTCAAGATGCTTGATTTTCAAATATATTGTTCCTGGGCAACATGCAGTGGTCAAAGTATCATTTCAACAAAGCCTTTACTCAGCTGCATTATCTCAGAGACTTGCTTCACAATGGCACCATACATCACGTCATTTTCCCTGTCAATGTTGCCAATGTCCATTAGGCCATCATTAGTGTGGATGCTAGCACATGGATGATCTTGTATGGTGACTCACTTGGATGGTCCATGCCTAGTTCATATGTTGATGCTATCTGCCGCTGGTTGAAAAACTACAGTTTTGCACCATTTGGCAAAGGATCCTTGCCTCATGGGGAGCAGACAGACTCCTTTTCATGTGCAATCACAGCTCTCAATACCCTCAAGTACGCTGTCTTCAGACACCACCCACTGTTTACTGATGACTCAAAATATCATCTTTGCATGGAGGAGTTTTTGATGTTGACAAAGAGCCACTTTGAGGTTCATTTTTACTGTGTTTTTATGACTCAAAAAACTCATTTCCTCATAACAGTCTGAGGAATTACTTTCTGAGTCTTCAGAGAGCTCTTTCACAGATGACACTAGCAATTTCAGCATCAAATTTTCATCATGTCCTCCATCATATCCCAGTCCGGTACCAGCAACAAGCCCCTCCCCTCCACTGACAACATCTAGCCCTCCACCAACAACATCTAGCTTGGAATGTGTTTCCTTGAATCTTAGGGTTCACAAAGAGGACAAATCTGTCGGTTTGTTCAAGTACTTTTGAACTATGACATGCAAGGAGCATCTCAAATCAGCATGGACTCCTTTCTCTTGGGAGCTAGAGAGTCACAAGTGGGATGCCCATAGGGTTCATGTTGAAGGAGTAGAAAGAGATATACACCAATGTGAGGGAAATAGGGAGCAGAAACAAATCCAACATGCCTGTGAAAAGGCTATGAAGAAGGCCACTACAAATCACACATCCAACATCACTCCTGCCCTGCCAATGACAGATCTTGCCGAGGTGTCTTGCCCATATCATAAGATTTGAAGAGATGCAAGGGCACATAAACCTAGTGTTCAACCTGGACACAAAAGGAAGCATGAGGACACTGTTGCAGTTCATGTCAACTGGCAACACCCCTTGTTATGGGCTACTATTGTTGAGGCTGCTGTTTAAGTGGGGATTGGCATGTCTCCCATAGAGCTTGTGCGTGATCTTCAGCAAAAGGACTTAGCACAATTCTGGACATTGACTCCACAGGTAGTTGGAACATGGATTGACCACTCTGGTGACAAAGCTGTTTGGAGTGTGGCAACTCTTGCTTGTATTCAGCAATGCAGCCTGCCCATGTACCAAAATACACAGAAACACATTCTATCCTCCTATCCCAGTGTGGTCAAATTGATCATTGATGACCTTCAGTCTCTCCATCTAGTTGGTGTTGCATTGGACACTCTCTGCTGCCATGGTATCATCCTTGCACACCTGCAACACTCTGTTCCTGATATTTTTGAGCATGTCACCAAGGACAGTTCTCACTTCTGCTGCACAGAGAGTTGGGTGAAGGAGTTTCTCATTGAGCACCTCAATTGGAGCTTCCACAGGGCAACACATGCAGCACAAAAAACACTACCAAATGTTGATCAGCTTCTCCTTGATCAGTTCCTCCATTTAACACTCACAATTCATGACTACACAATCTTTGATGCTGCATTCATTGTCAATATCATCTATCAGCCAGCAAACACCTCAACTTTTGAAACAATTGGCTCAAAGCAAGTCTCTGTGATCGGGCAGGAAGAAAAACGAGTGTTCACTGTCGTCAACAGAATATCTGCCAGAGGTCATGGCCTCCCCTTGCAACTGATCTACAAGGGGAAAACTTCATGCTCTATTCCTTCAAAGTCTACTCCACAATACAAGGAAGCGACGGAACTCAAGTTCAAAATCTCATACTCAAGTACACACACTTACTGGTCAACATCTCCCCTCATGTGCGAGTATGTTAACAACATTCTGGTGCCTTACTGGGAGGAGCAGAAAGTGTTACTCAATGCACTGGCTGACCAGGAGTGTATTTTGCACCTCAATGTGTGGAGTGTGCACAGATCAATTCAATTTCGCACATGGATGGATATGACCTACCCTTGGATCAAATACTGCTTTGTCCCTGGGAGCTGCACTGGTGTTGGTCAGCCATGTGATGTCAGTATTCAATGACCATTCAAACTTGCAGTCAAACAGACACAGCATGCTGATATAGTCAACAAGTCTCTTGTTCGACTCACCCAAGACAGGTCTGTGTCACTCATTTGACTCAACACAACAATTGGCACCCTTCATGATTGGTCATTGCAGTGGGTAATAAATGGATATCACACTATAAACAAGCCTGAGCTTGTAAAGCAGGTTTGTTTCTCATTTTCTCACACTGTCAAATCTTGATGCACAGAGCTAAATCATGTTTTCAAGGCATTTTTCATGTGTAAGGCTGGGGAGAATTTCAATCTCTCATTCACAAGCCTCACAAGTCAAGAGGTGTTGCAATATTTACATGATGTTCAGAAGAATGATCCAGCTGGATGGACAAGGATTGCTACTGCTCAGTACAAGACTGTCAGCATCAACCAGGCAACAGACTCCAAGTCAGAGGACAAGGCCACTGATACTATTGGAGTTGAATCCCCCTTTGACAATGCTAGCAAGCATGACCTTGATGCCAGTGACATGCCAATGGATGCACTTCTTGATCATATGGCTTCCAGGGGTGAACATGTCTGTTCTGACTGCCGTATTGATGCAGATGGCGGACTTCTGTGTTCAAACCACTCCAAAGTCTATGATGTGGGTGACATTACTGCTGAAGATGTGGAGAGTGGCTCGAACAGTGTTCCGAAGGTTGATTACGGGCATGGAAAGTGTAGATGCATCGCAAATTCGATGTATGATGATTTCTGGTCCCATTAGCGCACAACCTATGTTTTTTTTTCCATATGTCACAAATTAGCTTCGTCCCACCAAAAATTCGTGTGACAGTCACACTAAATAGATTCGATTCGTTAAGGGCTGTGATTTGTGACGAACCTAGTGTCGTATCTCTACAGTAGATTCGACGCCGCTTCAGTATGCACACAGACTGTACAATAGCCTCTACACTACTTAGTAACTACGATAACTAGTATGTTCATTGTGACATACGAATACAAGTGAAGACAGCAGACCGCTAAACACCCAAAAATATTCCCGAGAAATACTTCTTCACGCCCTCTGCACCATGTACGATCGCCCCAATCACCCCGTCTGGCCGTATCACAAACACTTTCGTCTGACCAGCTTCCATGAGGTAAGCCGAATAAGCATGGCCCTCCTGATCGATAAGAACGAGGTCAGCAGGGGATGCAACAGTGACGCCTGTTGCAGATGAAGGCAGAACGACTGCCGATCGCACAACGCTTCTGTCGTATCCCTCCAGCACGCCCAAGATCGAGGTAGCACCTGCGAGACTCGGCGCGAACACGACCACTGTGTGATACGACGGTCTATAAAGACCAAAAAGCGTCCTCATGTCAGACTCTCCGCGCCCCACCTGCAACATATTTGGTGCGTCAGGCGCCCTGTCTCCAGCCTCCAGATTCCCCTCGTCAAGCACCCCGTAGGCATTAATAGGCTTCCCTGGAATTGCAAATTCATCGAGGACGATGTTACTGAACCGGCAATTGATACCAAGCATGAAAAGGATGGGGCCCCGTGGCGCGATCATGTTATGTGCCTTCATTGCCTGGTTGAGAATCGTGGTGGTCCTCTCAAGCATCTCGGAGATGACAGGCAAACGCTCGGCATTATACGTCTCAAGAAGAGACCTGTCGGCGAGTCCTTTTTCGACGAGTGCAAGTTTCCAACCTAGATTGAACTGGTGTACAGTCAGCAGTGTCATACATGCTGCATTTGCAAGACTTACAGCATCTTGTATACCTGAATTGAGTCCCTGTTCATGGATAAATGAGTTGCATCAGCATTCGATTAGAGCGCACGCACCTGACCACCGGTTGGACTGTGAACACTGGAAATATATAGAATCAGTTTGGCAAGAAGGCACTCAAAGACAGACATACTGAGCAGCATCTATGCAGACTTCCATCAGCACAGGTGCATCATTCATAAGTAAAACAACATACCACCCACAACAAATCCTCGGCCCTCTCTAAGCTTGTTTACCATGCGGATATTGGCCCTAAAGTAAACCAATGAACATTGAAAACGCATCGACGTCACAAAATAAAACACACCTGTACTCGCTCACCCAGACAATTTTGTTGAACGTAACCTCCGTTGGTAACAACGATGCGATGATCTCCATGATTAACTCCTCACTCTGAGCGAGCTTTGTCAGGTCAACATCGGGAGCAGAGATGACAAATTGCCAGCCATCCTCTCCAATTTCGTCTGTTGGACGCAGCGAAAGGCTGCCTAGCGTCAATATACATGTCTCTCCAAGTCCCAAGAGCAGAAACTGGACATACCCTCGTTCCTTAAAGTTTCCAAATCGGTGCCAATACTTTCAAGATGGTATCAGGAGCGCTGCCTCGGAGTAAGTAGAAATCGGACGCACCGTTCTATCAAGACCAACCCCATGTAAACGAATATCTCCCATGACCATCCGGACATCGTCTCTAGTCTCGCCCAAGAATGTAAGCCCAAGCTGTTTACGCACGATGCCTACCAACCACAATTCAGATTCATCCTACTGCATTTGAAATTGATTGTATCTGACCTTTAGCACCGTCAGCGCCAATCACCCACTTAGCATCAAAGGTCTCTAATGTGCCGTTCTTTGCCAGAATAGCTGTGACACCTTCGTCGGACTGCTCGAACGAACGTAGTTCGGTGCCCATCTCGACAGAGCACGAGAATTTTTCAAGGTGGCCTCGCAGAATCACATCTAGTAGTTGTTGGCCTATCAGCTTTGGAGCATGCTACAATATAAAAACATCATCAGCGTGGCTGCTTGAGATGAGTGATTCTGCGTAGTACGTACGAATGGTACTGTAGGGGTAGCTTCCATATGCGGGACCAACGAAGGTTCCGTTAGAGGTTCCAACATCCCAGGCTTGTAGGTACGGATTGTGGGGACGGGTTTCCCCAGGCCATTGACTTCTGGTACGTCCAGGAAGTTAAAGAGTTCAAGGGAGCGTGGCTAAATCATACATTAAATGAGACTACAGGGCATCAGAGAAGTGGTATCATGACAAACCCAGATTCCAGGACCACGTTGTCCCATGCGAGGGTTGGGTTCTTTCTCAATGATGCGAACTGAGATACCATTCTGGAGGAGCGTTAACGCCGCTACCAGACCAGCTGGCCCAGCGCCGACCTAAGAAAGAGGAATTTAGCTGAAGCGCAACCTTCCATGATATGCAGTTCACTTACGATTAGCACAGGAGGACGAGTGGGATTCATGTGTAGAGTGCAGAGGATTTTGGATCAGAATAACAGACAGTCACATCTTATAACATAGGGGACGACCGATCAAAGCGGATGACCAGCGCTCGAGAGGATGCGTAACCATAAGTAACCATGTCTCTGTATCCTGTATCAGCGCCCTGATAGAAAGGACTCGCCAACGTTACATGTCCCATCGGATGATTTGTCAAAACGCTCACCAAATACTCCGCGATGCATGATGGCATCTGATGAGTCGACGAGACGATTGCGGGCACACTGCCACTGTGGCTTTGATGGCGATACGCGAGGGTGTGCGTGTCCCTTGCATATAGGTGACGGGACCAAGTGAAAATGATGCGGTCCTGCCGGGCCTGCCGCGGTCGTGACGCACCTGTAAGGTCCTGGCTTATGTCATGCAGTACTGACACATTCTAGGGTACAGATCATGTTCAAACACCATGTCGCTTGAAAACCAAACACTTTAAAGAATTCTCGCTAATGATCAACATATATATGAATATCGATCTGCGCACAGGCCCTGGAGTGCTGCATTCACCGCTGACCAATTTCACGGTGCTTGTCCTCCGTATTCATACCACCGTGACATACTTGGGAATGCGGCTGTGCACGTGTGCATCTGTATTGCCTCTAATCATTGATCTAACGTTTGTTTTCAGACAGCAATGTGAGTATTGTCTCAGTCAAGTTTGATGCAGCCCCTGTACTACCACGTCAGGCCCCAACTGTGCCATGTACGAAAGCTTCAGTCAGGGGCCGGGCTGGGTGAAGCACCACTCATACCTCGACACGTTCTCTCCAACATCTTCGCAGCCTCCGAACTAATCTCAACCTCTACACTTACCTATGCCGTGTCAAGGCCCACTTGCATGCCGCGTCACAGGCGCGCCAAGCTCAGTATATGATCGAATTCGTAAGCGGGTTTCCCGCCCTCCCAGCAGCTCCACCTGCTTGCGTCCCACCCCGAGTCAACGCTCAGACCAGCCCGACACAATTAGATCGTGTTACCGACTCTAGCAGAAGCCAGACGAAGCTGGAATCAATTGCACTTGCTTTACGGGTAAGTAAGATCAGCTTATCGGTCTGATGATTGCTACAACTATGGGTTCATTTCGAGTATTCGATCGTCGAAGGCTGATCACTAACTGGAGTTATCAGGCCGTATTTTGTACCTCCTACAAAGTTGGATGAATGTGGCCGTAACTGCAATACCGGACGGTGAGCTAAGAAGTTGCGAGATCTCAGTGACATTGACTTTGCTGAAACATCATGCAGGTCATCATGCTAACTCCGTTATATGCCATGTATCAGCAATTGAGCAAGGTGCTGAAATTTCTGTCGTGAGATTCCTGCCAGTCAACATCACCAAAGGTACAGCACTAGCTGGTGAGTGATATTGTAAAGCAATCTTTGGGGCGTATGCAAATTTGGTCGTCTCGTTGTCGGTCGCGGGCATGAATGACGCTACCGTGCTTGTTAGCGCGAAGACGTTTTCGAAGTGGACTATGTCTTTCACAAGTAGGGTTGCTGCAGAGCACATTGCTTCTGAAGCTGTGAAACCACTTAGCATGTGACTGAAGTACTTACAAAGAATTGGTCTTGAGCATCGGAAGTCTCATTGGCTAGACAGCCGAACGGATTGCTGTTGTGCCAAGGATGTGCAGGGGATGCAGTCTGTAAGGTATTGTTTAGACTCCAACCAAATGACGTTGGGGAGAGAAATCATGATTACGCTTTGTCGAACAAAACATGGTCAATGTCATGATGACTAGCACTAGAAGTTTGTCGAGCAGTGTCGCATCACTTCACCCCTCCATTCTATGATACCTCGGCTTACTTTGTCTCCGTCAAACAGCGCGCCAGTTTCTTCAAGACCACAACCTAAGGACACTACGTCCACGATAGCTCGGCGGGGCAAAGAGACGACAATGTCCTCTAATATAAACACCTCCACGTTGAACGAGGTACTATACGGAAACAAAATGTCAACTGACGACACAAACGAGGTCTGACGACTCACAAACGTCTACCCTATGAGAATCAATGCCAACGGATCGACGAACAAGTTATAAGCATTGGTCGAGTAGACAGTAAAGTTCTGGACGCAACGTTAGATAGCTCTCAGGGACACAACGAAAGCGACTGACCATGATTGAAGCCCCTTGGTACGAATATTATATTGCGTAATGATGGTGTCACAATAGCCGACAGGCTGATTTATACCGTAAGTACTTGTTAGCAGGTCTCGTGGGACGCCATCACACACTGAGTCATTTGGACTCGTTATCTTTGAAACATCTGGGGCCCTGTGAGTCTACGGTTTCTATATGCCTGCCGGAGCTATGAGAATGAGTGAAGCTGTAGACAAGCTTATCAATTGCCTGAGATAACACGAACGCCAGATAACCGTGGGCCCACCTCGGCTTCGCGTTTCGAAGAGGATAGAATTCTACCACACCACCAGTTGCACATGGGAGCTAGCAATCACCGGACGACAGAGAAAGTCATCTGACATGCAAATGATATCTGTTTGAGCCCACGCGCGTCATTCGTTTTTGCATGATGGAGGAATGGTCGGCCGTGCAGGGTGCAGCTTCCCTGAAGGGATTAACAATCTATATTACGTAGTTCCATTTCGAGAAAGTCTTGGTCACGCGACTGTGACAGACCACATTTACGCGCCGTTGAACGCCGGCGCGAGATCCCACCTCTTGCAATTGAGCATGGGTGATCCAAACTTCCAAAAGCCATGTACGCTGGACCTGTCAGCACTGGACAGATGGTAATTTTTCTAACCGCATTAGAATTCTGGGTCGCTCCTTATTTTTGGCGTTACGTACATGCATGTTGAAAACGCACATGATCCCCAGCTGTGACTTTTATAAACAGCTGCAGTTGAACCGGTCGCGTCTTTGACCCGCACATCTTGATTCATGGCCTTTTCTCGCCACATATTCATCCTGGCGCTTGTCGCAGGATGCCTCCTCCCTTCTGGTGTCCAGGCTCTCTGGCCTATCCCAACTACTCTCGAGACCGGGATGACCGCCCTCAAAATCTCCCCCTCATTCTCCTTTGACGTGCAGATTGAAGACGCGCCGTCGGATTTACTTGACGCGGTTGCGGAATCACAGTACTATCTCGAAAATGATAAACTTGGACGTCTCGTCGTAGGCCGCGGCGCGAATGACACTACTGCGCTTGCTAGCGCGATGACGCTTTCAAACTTGACGCTGTCTCTCACCAGTGGGGCTACTGTAGATTCCATTTCTTCTGAAGCTATCAAGCCCCTTGGAACCCGTAGTGAGGAGTACGCACTGACGATTCCAGCAGACGGCTCGGCTGCTACTTTGACCGCAAACTCGACGTTGGGTCTGTACAGAGGTCTCACTACTTTCAATCAGCTTTTCTACTACTATGGAGGAGTAATTTACACTTTAATTGCCCCGATCGCTATCACGGACACTCCTGCATATGTGAGCAGCTATTGTTCACACTTTGATGTCAGGTGTATGAACCCATATATACAGCCTTTCCGAGGATTGACACTGGATACCTCGAGGAACTACTATCCGGTCAGTGATCTTCTACGAACTTTGGATGCGATGAGCTGGGTCAAGGTGAGTGCTTTCCTAGTGTCTTGTCTTTTCATCTCTCACGAGCTAGACAGATCAACACTTTCCACTGGCATATCACGGACAGTCAGAGTTTTCCGCTTGAAGTTGTACAGTACCCCGAGATTACTATCAACGGTGCATACTCTCCTCAAGAAGTTTACACAGCGAGTGATGTCCAATACATCGTGCAGTATGCTGCTGCAGTACGTTCTTCCATTTATCACGGTCTGTTGTTCGCTGATGCTCTTCCCGCAGAGAGGTATCGATGTTTTGATGGTCAGTACCCATCAGTCAATTTCGATCATAAACACTCAATATTCTACCAGGAAATCGATACACCCGGCCACACCGCTATCATTGGGGCTACTTACCCCGATTATGTTGCGTGCTTCGACGCTGCTCCGTGGGCAGACTTTGCCAACGAGCCCCCTGCCGGCCAGCTTCGTTTTGCACTCCCAGAGGTCATGAACTTCACTGCTTCCTTGCTCAGCGATGTCGCAAAGACCCTGCCTTCGTCCTACTTCAGCACCGGCGGTGATGAACTTAACACGAACTGTTATACCGACGACTACCCCACGCAGCAGCAGCTCAACAGCACCGGAACGACGCTGAACGATGCTCTTGACACGTTCACACAGTCCACTCACGGTGCGCTGATTGCCCAGGGAAAGACACCTGTCGTATGGGAAGGTACGCGCTGTGTTTCTTCCTTTGAATGACGGTATTAAATGGGGACGGTCATTCAGAAATGGTCCTCGACTGGAATATTACGCTTTCAAACGAGACTATTGTGATGTAAGTAAGACGATATCATGACCTGACTCCGCTGATTCAACTGTGTTGAAAGGATTTGGATTTCTTCTGCAGATGCTGCAGCGGTGGTAGAAAAGGGTTTCAGGATCATCCAAGCACCATCAAATTACTTCTACCTGGTTAGTTGACGAGTTCTTCTACAGAACACAATGTTCTTATTATCATAGGATTGTGGTGCTGGTGAATGGTTGGGAGACGACCCAACTGGGTTAGTCTTTATATTGCTGAATGTACTCGATCTGAACTGACATGCTTTGGGAGAACAGAAATAGCTGGTGCGACCCCTTCAAGACCTGGTCCGAGGTTAGTATGATTATTTAGGACAGCCACGCGTCTCATGATTTTTCGTTAGTCATATACCTTTGATCCGTTGGCAAACTTGACCGAGGCGCAGTACGGACTTGTTCTCGGAGGTAAATACAATCTTTTATCCAGGTTAAATTGACCTTTCTGAGCAATCCACAGGCGAGCAATGTCTATGGAGTGAGCAGTCTGGTCCCCAAAACGTCGACCCGATTGTGTGGCCACGTGCTGCATCATCAGCAGAAATTTTCTGGAGTGCTAAGCAGCCCACTGGCGCTGCACTCAACGTCACCGAGGCACTTCCTCGTTTGCATGTGAGTAGTGCTTCTTGATGTGGAAGTACTTAAATGACAGATAAACGATACAGGATGTCAGGTACAGGATGGTGCAGCGCGGCATCAATGCCATCCCACTTCAGCCGCAGTGGTGTGCGCTCCGACCAGACGCATGTGATCTGTATGCTTGATTTAGAACTTGATGGGAACTCTACTCGATTTTGGATCTTTTCACGATTGGTTTTGGCGTCAATCATTTTGCTCCGTCGCTCAGCTCTCATTCACCAACAACCTGACTTATGTAGCGAAATGGAAGTTGACGAGATGTTCGAAGTGATGCACTGAACAACGAAGTATCCAAAATTTGACAATGAATTTTATCTATACTGCGTGTGCATAGTCCATATCTTGACTGGGATTCTGAACAAACAGGTATGCAGATTGTCTGGGGATAGTCACCGACTACAGTATTCAAGTGTCGAGGTGTATTCAACCCCACTCACCAGCTGAGCGATGAACAGTGAACGATTCGATTTGTTCGGCGCCTAGGCGCATGGGTAGCGAGTTTATGGGCGCTATACCATTGTTAATTCGTTCTGTAATGCAAAATTCTGATCTCCTATCGCAATCGATTGCACTCTACCACTCCACTCCTCTTGCATCCAACCTCTCCCTCCTTCACTCTTCCCATTCCTTCGACCCATTGTTACTAGTCCCGCTCGGTCATTACGAATACGGCTGGAACGTTCAATGCAGAAAGCTGTCATCGAGAGAGTGAGAAACGAACGAATCGTGGAGGAGGATGGCTAGGATGAGCGTAGTCGAAACTCATCTTTCTCGACTTGCTTGCTCCCACTCAAGCTATCTGATGTGATTTCGTTCCAAAGCAACATTCACATCTGACACCGTCCCTTACCATTCGCGTTCCGAACACCTTGCTCTCTTGATAGCTTGCGAGACTTTTCTCCGCGACTCCTTCAAGGCACGGAGCGACAACAATACCATCACCTTTAAGTGTCTGGCACTGCGTTTCTGTTGGTGTAAATCGCTATTGTTGAATTCTTGGAAAGTTGAACAGGGCAAGCCAGTGATAAGTTGCAGCTAGTGGAAGCCGTCAAACAGGTTAGAATTTCTGGTATCATGTGCCAGCATGAATGCAAGCTCGATTGATCCATTGCAACGTGCGAGTTAACCTATGATTACAACACCCGGTATCCGATATCCAAGTCCCACGTAGGCAATGATGTCCTTGTGTAATTTACATAAAACCGAGAACAGATGAGCTGTCCCTGCTACCCGACAGGATTCGTTGGTGTACGCGGCTTGACTCTGTAACTCTGTGTTATCCATTGCTCGACTGGGCATCATGGAGGCACCTCTCCTACCTACCTACCCTTCTCAGTCTGTTAATTCAGCAAGATTGCAGGGACCCTCCTTCGCTGTTGGAACAGGATATCTTCAATTTCTCACCATTTCGTAACATTACGACTTTTTTCTTCCACCTGTACAGTGCTGAATACATCATCAAAGTCATGCAACACTTGCAATTCCCCTCTCTGAAAGAATTTGAATTAGACGTCAATTTCCTGTATCCAGCAGAGGCCGAGCAACTCTGTCGCGCGCTGTCCCGCTGCACAGCATGTCGAACTCTAGAAAGAATCTCCATTTGGTCTTTTGACGACGAATCCGTGCAACCCCTAGACACCACTTCGACAGTAATTCCGCATCTCCTTTGCTTCACACAGCTCCGAACTCTGCAGCTCGTGTTTTTACATTCCTGCATCTATCTGGAAAATTACATTCTCTTGGAGGCTATGTCTGCTTGGCCGCACATCCACACTCTGGAAATCAGAGACTCAGGTCTTCGTCCTTCTTCAGTCTCATTCCATGGGTTATTCACAGCGCTCCGTCTATGTCTACGATTGCATACACTGCAAGTTGCAATCAATACTGCAACTATCGACATCGATCCTGATGATGAGCCAACACAACATACCTCCCTACGAACATTGGAATTGGAGGCATCCGATTTTCCAATAGCAAATGCTGAAACTCTCGCTCGCATCATTTTTTCCTGGCTCCCTTGTGTCGACCAAGTTGTAAGCATGGATGGGAATTGGGACGAAGTCAACACCCATCTCACATCTTTGAAAGCTATTGCGCTGTATGTCGCGGGAGCCTCCTAGAATAATTGGAATTGGAATATATTCACGTTTGGGAATGTTGTTACATGCCTTCGAGTTCTTTCGTTCATTCATTGTCGCTGTTGTGGTTGTTTTCTCCTGTCGGACTGTTAAACTGCTATAGTAGCGTTATGTATTTTCTCTGCACATTCGAAAGGACCTCCTCGAGTCGCTCAATCCATGTAATCCCATGTAATCTAGGGACCTGCATCTGGGTTTAGTTTTGTTATGCCCTCACTTGCATACCCTGCGACCATCGATGAATGCTGTGATATCCACCCTATGCAGTCCGGGTCTTTTGAGCATACCAATCATGGCATGCGCTCTTCCCGGGCCCCATTCTTCCCAATGAGTCCTTCACATGTTCAAATATTTGTCACTGCCCTCGGTCTGTGTTCAAGACAGTATGATATTATTGATCTCTAATGGCGCTGATCTTGTAGAAGCCCACGGCATTCAGCTAGTACACAGCAGACTGGCACAGATCATGGATGATCAACCTGATTCAGGCTACAGTAGAAGAACCGAATCGACCGCGTGTTATTTTCTTGCACCCTTGCATCTCGGATTCACTCGACAATTAATCTAGAGGATTTCAGCTCGTGCTTTGCCGCAGGCTGTTATGTACATACACCTGCCAGCTTGACACATCGATTCTAATTCAATCCTTCCCTTCAGATCAATAGGTCAATTATTCTCCATGGTCGAGAAACCAACGTCCATGCTCGCCCTCATGCGATCACCATAACGAATCGTCAAGAGAATGATCCTACAAAAGAAATTTTCAAGCGGTTCTATGTTAGTATCCCAGATCTTACAGTGAAAAAAGACCCCCACCCTTGTCCAACGACCGCAAGGACAGCCGCAATGATATCCGTCCACGCAACACCTATGCGCTCGATTGTTGGAATGACGAGAGCAGTCGCAGCGGATATTATAAGTGACCTGCTCGCCCTGAGGTAAATAATGAGTTCAACTTTGATAGTCACGCAACATCACGGAGACTGACATGTGAGCAGCTATGGCCTCTGCACTTCGAGAATGCACTACGTCCACATTATAAGAACCAATGGGATTCACCACGAAGTCGACCTATAGGAACCAGTAAAATGATAGGCATGGGGTGAGAGGATCTAGCTGGGAGGACTTACCCCCATCCCATTTGTGAGAAGGCACAGTAGATTCAACGCAAGGCCGATCGGCCCCCCAACATACGTCGTGATCAGCCCGGACGCCCCAACGGACAACGGGACCATGAACAGCCCTCCGATCCACGTCGCTCTCAAGCGGTCTTCGGGACACCACACTCCTCCGCGCTTCTCCCGCCATCTTCTGAGCACAATGTCTGATAGGCGGCCAGCAACCGGCGCTCCAACTGTCAAAGGTCGCGTCAGTGAAATATGAGTACCACACATTGTGCTTACTGAAGTTTCCCAGTCCATTTGGGAGGAAACACGCCCCGATGATGGCCTCGTTCGTGATTCCATACCGGACGCCCTGCACCACGATCAGGATGCGAGACGGAAGACAATTGTCAGCTTACAATTGTATACGCCAGCGGTACAAGGAGAACTGTATTGCTCGATGTGAGAATGCACTGCGCAGCCAGTATCGACGCACCAAAGTCACTAATGAGCACTAGACTCGCCGCAAGCATCTAATCCCGCACATAATCAAGGGTTTGCAACCAGTGAGCAACGTACGCGGTAAATGCACTCACAACCGCAAATAGGTTTGGACTCCGAAGCAACCAGAGACTTCTCAGAGGATTAATCCATGTGATATGGATCCATCTCCGATGCTTTAGTTTATCGATACCCAATGTGCCGGGATGGCTCGTCTCAGGAAACGAAAGGTACAGAAGAAGCATCTCGACCAAACCCAATACACCAATGGAATAATGCAAATTGCGCCAGGACCAATACTGCGTCGCAGCACCTGTTCAAATAGATCGCTAGTGGCTAGAGTCTGCATGCATAACACTGAGAATATATTTACCTCCAAGAAACGGTGCAACAGCGAACCCCAAAAGTGTGGCCTGAAACAGTCGTGTCAGTATCAAACGGATAAAATCATTCAATCATCATGATTTCTCACACCAAAGAATACCCCGATAGCCGTTCCCCTCTCCTCTAATTTATAAATATCGCCGATAACACCAGCACCCAGGGACATCCCCCCAGCGCATCCAAACGTCTGCACGAATCGCCAGAATAACAGACTCTGCAATGAAGTCGACAGCGCGACACCACAGCTCCCAACACATAGAAACGGCATCCCCCACAGATATATTGGTCGGCGTCCATCTGCAGGACTGTTGTTAAGACTTCAAACACACATTAGCTCATGACACGCTATAGATGCACGCACAGAAGGACGAGTAAGCAGCCCAAACCAACGCCCCGACAGCACTCGCTAAAATCGATAGACTGACGGTCAAGCTGGGAAAATCGCTCGATCGCTAAATGTTGCATCAGATGAACATACAACACGCACCTGACGACAGCACGCGTCGAGTTGAGATCTTTAGCTATCTGAGGGATGGAAGGCACGAATGTCGATGAGACAAACGCTGATCGACGCTCGTCAGCATCGCCTCTGCATCAGCAGTATACTTTTGACTCCCAGTACTTACTAGGCAAAAATCCCACAAAAGAAACGAGAAACACGATCCACCTCTTTTGATCTGGTGCGAATCTGTCATAAATAACTTCATGTGTAGTGGTAGCCAGCAGAGGACTTTCTTCTGACAACATCGTCGATCACGAGCTGAGCGTGGCGTACTAGTACAGCGGGGGAGAGATATAAAACAATAATCACAAATGTCCAACTAAGCCCAGCCTCTGTGAAGATCTGGGTACAAACCTGCCGGCAAGATAAGTGCTACGGACCGGAGGAAGCAGCAAAACCACTCGCCGTGGGTTTAAAATAGCTCATCGAGGCGGATCGTTGGTTATCCCTTGCCTCGAAGTGGCGAAGAAGCTGAAGCTTCTTCGCTTGTCTATCTTGGCATGTTATTAGACTGGGACAACCCTTTACGTTGAAAGATAATGCGTTGTTGTGTTCATTATCCTTCAAGTTTCAGTCGTATCCCTCAGGCTGCTCATGGGGGCGTTCGCATGGAGTGGTGCTAGATGCTATGGGGCTCTTACCTTTTAGATGGGTAGGTGCGTGCAGAGGGTGCGCAGTCGATTGTTTTGTGGTTAACGGTGTTCTATGTGAAAATGCCGTCTGAAATATACATAGCCAGGCTTGTTCGTGCGAAATGGAAAGAACACGAAAAGAAAAAAAAGCCGGTCGATACGGGAAGACTTCAGGAATGCTGTCGAGTCAGCCGACAACTTGATTAAAAGGGTACTGGTACTGAAAGCGAGAATGGATTTGTCATGTGTTTGTGTAGCTTGTCATCGCTATCAGAATGAAACAATAAGAATACCTCCTGGTTCTTCATCACTTGGTATATTCCAATGAGAAGACTCACGCGAACTTGTCGAACCAGCGATCAGCAACTGGTTTCCAACTGCGATAAAGACCATGTTCTTGTTTCTCCAAAACGTTGGCCATTGTCGCCATTAGGCCGCTTGTCTGATTTTGCAATCGCAGAGATCCACTGCTAAAGAAAGAACAAGACCTACAGATCAACTAGTTAGAAGAAAATGCTTATAAACGGGAGTATGAGATCTATATAGATGGGCAGAAGAGCATCCCTGTCATCTATGTAGATCCCAGACCGAATGGAGAATAATTTGTAGGCCTGTACCTTAGCATGGGTACCCATGAAAACTAAGAGAAGGACCAGAGTCAGTTCAAGAATACGGCAGAATTCTCACCTCGGACCTGCTCACCAGTACCTTTGGATCCATCGGCTTGGAGTTGAGAGTTGACAATATTGGGGAACGGATATCGAACAACAGTCGTTAAAGTTGGTGAGGAAAACGCTCCCTAACAAGAGGAGGGCGGAACACACAAGAGCTTTGACACGGTTGTCTTGCCGGCCTATATGATAGGCTCTTCTCTTTGGCATCGGAAGGCTTACCTCATCCATGGGAGCCTGAGGAGAATCAGATAGTGATCAGATGTTATAACAGGGACAGCCTTTGGGGTGGGTATCTATGTTCTTGAAAAAACCACCGACGGGTCTTGGCGCTCTACAGCTCAAGGTAGGGGTAGGCTGGTAGCAGGACTGCTCGATTGAGAAGAGGCAGGAGCACAAATTTCCATGGCCGTAGACATGGTGAGCGACCCTGAGTCGCGCAGACGATGATATGGGGATGGGCAACGCCTGCAAGCTATTGCCTATTCTCAGTATCACTCATGTGATTTCTCAATTCCTTGAGGCATGTATCGAGTGACAACCAAATACTCTCCCTACTGAAATGCAAGATCGACTGCCTGCGGGAGATTTGTGGTGGCGAGGTTTCGATTGCAATAATTTCAGAAACGATGTGTAGACGAGTCTGACGAGGGTTTACACCAGTTGACCCAGAATTTAAACACCGCTGCGTATGTAGTTGTTATATCGTTTAGGCCTGGCGTTCTGCATTAATGACTGTAAGTTATAACTCTTGGGCTAGTAACAGCACTGGACTCCCTCCCAAACTCGTTTCCGCGTCGTAAATCGAGGTACACTTCGGAATTCAACTTGTTAGTGCCGAATTGTGTCGATTTACCGGAATTTTCCAACTCGATTGGATTTACCTCTACTTCGGACATTAATGACCTAGGGCCCAGCCAGCACGATGGGCTCGCGCAGGACTATAAAAGCACCTACTAGTACTGCTTCTGCTCGCTTCATCTGCTTTCCGCCATGGGGTTCAAAGATGCACTAGCAGATATTTCGCGTTATCGTAATGCATACACCCTCGCCCTGTCTGCATCTATGGGCTCTATCTTCTTCGGTTGGGACACTGGACTTATGGGTGGCATTTTAACCCTCGAGTCTTTCCAGCAGTACTTTGGTATCGATAAGTTGTCCGCATCTGGTCAAGCCAATTTCAATGGAAATATCGTGTCAGTTATGCAGGCCGGATGCATGTATGTTATCGAGACTATAGAACGCTTCGCTACTCATGCTATTTTCTTGAAATTTCAGCTTTGGTGTCCTATTGACTAGTTGGACGTGTAGTCGCTTTGGGCGGAAACGATCTCTGATTGCTTCGGGCGTCATATACATCGTCGGAAGCATGATTCAATGCGTTGCTGGCCTCGGAAGCAGCCAGGCTGTCGCTCTTCGAGTACTATACTTTGGCCGCGTCTTTGCTGGCATCGGGGTGGGCATGGTATCCGCTCTAGCTCCCTCATATATATCAGAGTGCATGCCCAGACACATCAGGGGGAGGTGTACCGGCCTTGTCCAGTTCTCTAACAATATCGGCATGATGTTGAGCTGTACGTACTATCCATTTATAGATGAAGTAACCTTGGATTGATGAAATATGTGTTGCAGTCTGGGTGAACTACAGTGCTTCTATCAACATCCCATATAGCGACATGCAATGGCGTATGCCTTTCGTAGTCCAGCTTGTCCCGGGTGTTCTCTTCATCCTCCTTATGATTCCACAGCCAGAGTCACCCCGTTGGTTGGTTGAGCAGGAGCGCTACGATGAGGCCGCAAGGACGCTTGCATATGTTGTTCGAACATCAGTCGATGACAGCGTCGTTCTTCTTACACTTGACGAGATCAAAGCGGACTTCATCGGCAAGCAGCGAACATCTTTGGTCTCCCAGTTCCGCATGATGGGAGAGTCACGTCAAATTGCGCTTCGCTGCTCGATTCCTTCCATCCTCACCTTCTTCCAGCAATGGACTGGTACAAACGCTATCAACTACTTCAGCCCGCAGATCTTTGCTGCGCTTGGGATCACCAGTACAGCATCTGGCCTATTTGCAACAGGAATATACGGTCTCGTGAAAGTCGTCACAGTCGGTCTTACCCTGGTATTCGCTGTGGAAAGCTGGGGTCGCAAGCTGTGCCTCTTCGTGGGCGCTGTGGGGCAAGGTTTGTCTATGCTCTGGATTGGCGGCTTCGGCGCCATCCACCCCCAGAGCACTATTGTACCTGCGAGTTACGTGTCAATCATCGCCGTCTATCTCTACGCAGTATTTTTCTGTATCGGCTGGGGGCCTCTGCCGTGGGTCGCGGCCAGCGAAGTTGCCCCAAATCATGTCCGCCCAGCCACACTCACAGTTGCGGTCAGTATCAACTGGTTATTCTCATTCACGATATCACGCCTGACGCCGGTGATGCTGGAGAAGATCAAGTATGGGACATTCCTGCTCTTTGGCGTGTGCTGCATGATCATGGCAGCGTGGACGTATCTCTTCTTGCCAGAAACGAAGGGGTATGCGTTGGAGGACATCAAGTATTTGTTTGAGGAGGATGTGATAGTGAGGTCTTTGGAGGACGCGCCTGGTGGACGCGTGTTCCTTGGAGGCAAGCGAGCGATGCCTGTGGAGGACATCAGGGGAGGAGCAGATATCCAGGATTTGAGTGACAGTTCCACAAAGGGAGATGAAGAGTGCATTGAAGTCTGCAGTGACCAGTAGCACTGTCACAATCCTTACCAACTGCTCCGGCAGCACAATTGTTCTATAGCTTCCATGGTTACAATGTCAAGACTCGTCAAGGACTCGTGCACATGAATCTACTGATGCCATGCTGAAGATTCGTCGTTGGTAACTGTCGGTAACGATCATTTGATTTCGGAGTCATCCTTTTTTGTGATAAGTTTATATGTTCAATACAGTACTTTCAGGCTCAAACTAGCGCTGATCCCTGACGTCGCCATGCATGGCGGACTTGCGGTTGGTAGAAAACCACTTCACCTTGTCAAACCATCGACCACAGTGGGGGAGTGGAGCTCATTTGTGTCAAGTCCCACTTTTTTAATGACCCGTCGGAAGCGTACGGGGTCCAACCGGAGAGATGCCACCTCTGTTAACTCATCTCTGCGCGAAGTTTCAAACGCCAGACCGTTCGAGTCAATCCGTCGATCATCATGACAGGTTCATTCACACGACGGTCGTGTCCAACACTCTCCCTGATAGTACCATACTAGTATAGGTATGGGGGCCATGGGTACGGGCATGGTGTAGGGATGTGCTACCTGTCACAAGGTGCACATGGCCCGGGAGTAGGTGGATTTACCAGCAGGGGTTGATTCGATATTTCTCGAGACAATATGCACACGAGATGGCGCATTCAGGTCGGCGATTTGTTTGAAGATTCTGAGGTATTTGAAAAATAGAGCATCTACAAGGGGTTTAGTGAAATACTGTCTGATTTGATGTTACGATCAGGAAACGCGTGGCCCTCTTACGTCCGTTCAATGCTCGAGCAATCATAAAACGCACGCAGCTTCCTTGATTACAAAAATAAGACGGACTCATTGGATTATTTCCTAGTATATTGAAGCACCATTATTTTTCACATTAGAAGTCCTGACCAATTTTGTAGCCCAACAAGTCTTTGATTTGGCTTCAGGTCAGGCACTGTAGCCACATTGCTTGCAAGGTCATATGCCACCCCTCGAAATCTAACGGCGACTGGCACTAACCTGGCCAAATATACACAAATGTCATTAAATAACAACGATTTCAATTCTGAACCGTCACATCCACTGACATATATCCACGTCGAAGTCTATGGAACTCGATGATGCCCTCAGCTTACCATGAATAATATCATCGCAATATGGTGCAGGCAAGCAAGGTGAAAATCGGCATCGCCGAACCCTGGTTTGTTAGTGTAAGTGACGCTCTCACGCCCCGGAGACTCCATGGCTGAAGATTACTCCGCCTCAGTGGCTGACTTACCCGAGGAGCACATCGCTTGTAATGATCAAGCGAACTCCTCTTCCTTACACATATCCTTGTCCGTAATTTGGAATGTTTACCAACACGTGGTAATAGCAGTTGCAGATGAACAGCTTGATCGATTCTCCTAGAAGCGTAGCGATTGTCAGGATTGGCTTGATCATCTCACCGGATTATTGTTATGTTGGCTAATACTTGTTCCAGAGACAGCTGAAATGGCGGTGAGTGCGCCATCGAGATTGCCATACGGTAAGCTAGCCGATCAGCGTTTACTTCCCTTCCTATTCTCATTACGCCATATCATCGCAGTGGTGCATCTCGATTGGATGTCGGATAACAGGCCGAGTGCCAGACACTATAAGATGTTGAACACGCACTGCTTATCAGACCCACGTTCCACGTCGATTCAGACATTGGAGTTTCACTTCTATCCCGCATTACATGATGCTGGAAGCTCTCACCAGGAGTGCTAACTATGCCGCTGGCGTCGTCGCAGTTGTAGCGGTACTCTTCGTGCTATACAAAAAAAAAATCGTTATCGAGCAGGAAAGGCATCCCGCTTCCACCTGGACCTCCCGCACATTGGTTCTGGAGCAACGCTTTACCTGCTGTGAAGTGAGTTTTGGCAGTGTTACACACAAGAAATTAGAGGTTGATGTAGATCGTTCACTCAGCATTGTCTATACGTTGACCAACTTGGTTCGAGAATATGGGCCAATTGTGTCGTTCCGCCAAGGTAGCCAAGTAATAATTGTCATTGGCACCATGGAGGTAATCTGCCCTTACCTTGAGCTTCCTCCGATAATGACCCATTTACCAGGCAGCCGCAGACATCATGGAGAAAGAAGGTGCATCACTGGCAGATCGACCTCGGTCCATTGCCGCGGGTGAGATGCTCTCAAATGGAATGCGTATCACCATGGCTCGTTCCGGAGAACGCTTCCGGCGCCTCCGGAAAGCAGTACACCCTCATTTACAGCCAAAGGCGGCAGAGGCATACAAAGACATGCAGCGCGAGAACGCGATGGATTTTATATTGGATGTGCTGAATGACCCGATGAACCACCAGAAGCACGCACAGCGGTACGTCACTACCAGGCCTTTTGTGACCCTTTCATGGATATGGTACCTCAAGGTATGCAGCATCAGTCATTCTTCGGGTGGCTTATGGGAAGTCCGCGCCCACTGCCAACGCCGATCCCGAAGTTGTCCGTATCCACAAAGTCGTTGAGCACTTTCATGCCACGATCCTCCCAGGAGCTTATCTCGTCGATCGTATGCCCCTTTTGCGCTACTTGCCTGGTTACAGAAAACAACTCGATGAGTGGCATCGTGAGGAACTTGAGTTATTTAGGCATCAGCTAGGGCGCGTCAAGAGTGAAGTCGTAAGGAGCTTTCCGTTTCGACAAACGTATGTCACTTATATCTTGTTGTATGCAGGATCAAAACAAAGCTGGCCCCTCTTTCATCAAAACACTATTGGAGAACACTGAAGAACACCAACTCTCTACAGATGAGATGTCGTATCTCGCCGGATCACTCTTTGGGGCGGGATCTGATACGGTAAGCTATGTAACTTATTTATCTACACAAACTCACTCCTGGTTCAGACCGCTGTTGGAATTACCGCCACTGTTATGGCTGCGGCGTGCCACCCGCTGGCTCAGGCAAAGGTGCATGAAGAGCTCGATATGGTCATCGGGTCAGACAGAGGTAATGCCAAACCAGAGGGGTACAAAGATTTTGATTTCTCAGTTAATCTTGCGTTGTAGTGCCGACATTTAATGACTCAAGCTCGCTCCCTCAATTGCACGCATTCTTGTTGGAAGCTTTGAGATGGCGACCTATCGTTCGCATAGGTAAAATCGAATTTCAGCACGCTCCTCCACGATGCTGACATGTGTCCCAGGATTTCCCCACCGTGCAACCAAGGATATTTTTTGGGTCAGTGTCTTCATTTGCCGTAACCCACGTTCTCATTCTAGTCTGTGCAATCAGCGAGGATACTACATTCCCGAGGGTGCAACAGTCTATGGTTGCCATTGGTATGATGTTTCTTCACTTGGTATCATGTTGCTCCGTTAAGCGCGTGTTTTCAGGACTCTTTCTCGCGATCCTATCGTCTTCCCAGATCCTGAAATATTCAACCCCCAGCGCTGGCTTGATTCAGAAGGTCGCCTTAAGGACAATAATATGAAGTTCATCACGTATGGCTTTGGTAGACGGTAAGTCGTGCCGACGTCGGTTTCCTGACACCGATTAACGAAGTTCGTTCATTTGTCATTAAAAGTGTATGTCCTGGCCTGCACCTCGCAAACCAATCGCTGTACATTACCCTCGCACTCCTCTTGTGGTCTTTCCGCATTGTTCAACGACCTGACGCACCGATCAACACGCACGCTTTCAGTGATGCGGTCATTCCCCATGCAGCGCCATTTGAAATCGATGTCATTCCCCGGGTTGAGGTTGCGAAGCTGAGAGCGATGATGATGGAAAGGTATACGAATTAGTGTTTTTCCTAAGTGTAAATCAAGGCACGGATAGTACATGAGACACGAGACAGGATACATGGAGAATATTACATGAAGTACCGGAACTCAGGACCTAGTCTCTACCATGCATTTTTCTGTGCGTCTGGCCTTGACGAACCTATCAGTAATCGTCGCAGGTGTCTTTCCAACACATCCTGTGAACTGTGAACATGGAATATTATGCAAGGAACAACAAACATCTTCTGAAAGAAGGTACCGACACCTCGGCGATGTGACACGGGTAGGCGCTACCCGGATATCCACCCGGGTACCACCCGCGGACGGAACGTGGGACGGATGGTACAGATGGCGGGTACCTTGGATGGTTCCACCCGCACGGGTACGGGTCAGACTCTAGAGGGCCCGCTAAAGTCGGGTATCCGGATTCCGCGGGTAGTTAGTGCCCCAAATAGGAAATGATTTTCGGCCGAGCCAAACTCACTACTTGTTACCCGAACTCCCACCCGACGTCAAAATCTGTTAGAATCAAGCTTGCGGAGATATGAATAGGTACCTATCGAGGGCGACGCCTGCCAACCACCCCACAAAGTGCAAAACCCTTCGCATTATCACAAGCGTAAAAATCACCTGACCAGACATTGACATCATTGTTGATATCGATGAGGTCGGAGAGCGTGCCCAGAGAGACACGGGCATGAGCTGTTAAGGAGACTGCAGAAGGGCATGCAGTGGCTCGGAAGAGAGGTTTCTGACGAGCATGAGGGGATCTGGAGTCCAGGTTAGTTGTGGGACTGCAAGGACTTCGATGATGAACAAGCCGTTTAGGTTTGGGGGTGGAGAAGGTGTGCTGGAGGATGGACTACAACGCCGTCTGGGTTTTGGGTCCGTGGACACACTTTGTTGAACGTCGTGCATGGTACCTCATATTGAGAACGTGGGCCTGTGGGTGCAGAGCATGGCATTACAATGACCATATCACGAAGTGCTAGGACTCGAGCGAAGATAGATACACGGAGCGGCGAGATAAAAAGACGGAGTGAGCACAGCGGCAGGGCACAGGAGAAAACCAACGATGGTAGAGATGCGAAAGGCGGCAAGTCGATGTTGACGCAAGGAAAGAGAGCGCTTTTATATTCCTGTGGCCTGAGGGGTGAGGTATGGTACTCACTACCAGGATGCCTGAGGTGGGCAACGCACGAAAGAATTCATATAAACGAGTGAACAAGGAAGAAGGTACAAGCTTCTTGAACCAGAACTGCCTCCACTTGAGGCAGAAGTTGTCAGTGATTGTTAGTCCAACACGACTAACAACGACGAGCAGGCTACTTGGTAGCGAAAATTGAAGTTGCGGTAAAATCTGGAAGAATGCCGAGAACGTTTTTGGATAGCCAAATTAAGCCAAGCCTACGGTACTTTCAAATTTCCGGTATACATGATTATTCAGAATTACCAGTGACTTGAACTTCCACCTGTTTTGCGCGTCGAGCCAACAGCAGTCATCATCTCGCTCCCAATATGTTCCAAAGCGCACTTCGTACATCTGTATGTCTTTCCATTAGTCGTACTCACTCCGTGCATTATAACCTTTTCGTCAGCTTTCACTCCACAGGAGCACTGTTTCCAGCTGTCTAAGGTCACAAACGTTCCGTCGATTTCTATCGCAAGAGTCTCGCGCAAAAATACAGTCTGCAGTGACCGAATACCCTGTGGTACTGTTTATGAAGGGCAACCCAGAGCAGCCTATGTGCGGTTTTTCACGAGGGGTCGTGAAGATCCTCAGCGCTTTCGACATTCCACCTGAAAAGTTCAAGACATATAATGTCCTCGAGGATTTGGAGCTGAGGACCGGAATTAAAGAATTCTCGTAAGTTATGCTTCATTTGACATTGTCACCGAGCCTCAGGCGCTTCTCTCGCAGGGAATGGCCAACCATCCCACAACTGTATGTGAATGGGGAATTTGTAGGTGGGAGCGACATTGCTTTAAGCAGTGAGTCGAGGTCGCATTGCCGCATATATTTCAAACTCAAATTTTCAAAGTGTTTCAATCGGGAGAGTTGGAAACGCTCCTTGAGCAGCATGGGGTGATCCCGAAGGTATCGGAAAGTTGAGACTGTACATGCACCATACCCTCCACAGGTACAGGTACATACGTGCACCAACCCGTCAATCTTACGGCTTTTGGGAAACACCGCGGGTAGATTGTCAAGAGTGTATTAACAACAATCTAATAAATATCACTACTTTTCCTTGTTGTCCTCCTCGACTTCGACTTCGTTCAGAGACTAGAAGGTCCTATATGGTCGGAAGACCACTTCTGTTCCAGGCTCCGAGGTAGAGAAAGGCACGAATTGTTGACCGTGCGAGTCGGTTGCGAGTAAAGTGAAGGAGCTGCCGGTCCTGCGAGAAGGCACGTTCAACCGCAGTCGATGCTACTGAGCGAGATAATAAGTACTGAGTACTGATTGATTGAAAGAGAATTTGAGGGTGGTATATCCGGGACAGAGAGATAGTCTATGTACGTAGCCCAGGAACTTGGTCTTTCTATAAAGGACAAATGGTCGTTGCTTAGTAATTAAGCTCTCTCCCTGTGCTCCCAACTTGCATGTCTTCCGTTCCAAACGGTGCAGACATCTCTGCTGGTACTCACCCGGATCTGTCACTCGGGTCATTCGTATCAGGTCCAAGTACACCCGGCAGACCACTCCGTGTCCCGTCAATATCATCACCCGCTCCCAGCAATGGTGATGGCCCAGACACACCTCTTCCGCGCGCACGACGTCCAAGACAAAGCGCACCAGGAGGGAAAGGCGCTGCTTTATCTTTAAGAGACCAAGAAAAGGTAAGCCAAACCCCGCCGCCCAGCTCTATCTAAACCAACCTACATAACAGCACATCGACTCTCTCAAAAAAGAAAACTTTAACATCAAACTACGCGTTCATTTCCTCGAGGAGCGTCTTGCCCAGCTTGCACCAGACCAGATCGATGCTGCTCTCAAACAGAACATCAATCTCAAGATCGAGGTCCAGCAACGTGGTCTTGAGATCAAGAAACTCAAGAAACTCGTCTTGGAGCTCGAGCGCGAGTTAGAGCGTCTTCAGCGTGGTCAACGCGCGACCATGATCTGGAGTCGCGGCTGCACGAGCGCGAACGCGATTTGGAGACACAGCTACATGAGCGGGAACGCGATCTTGAGATGCAGCTCGAGGAGCGCGAGCATGAGATCAGGGAGTTGAGGAAGACCCAGGTTATCATCGAGCGCAACGGGGACGACTCTGTAGATCTCAGATATGCACGCAAAATCGAGGATCTGCGTGGAGAATGAGGAACTTCGTCGTGAGCTCGAGCAGCGCGATCAACTTCTCATTGTACGCGAGGAGGAGAATGAGGCTCTTGCTGACCATGCTGATCGGTTGCAACTAGAGGTTGAGGATATACAGCGACGGAGAGAGTGAGAACATTGAAAGGAGTGAGAGTCGTGCTCAATAC